GTGGAAAAAGTGTTGCCCTGCAGTGCTGTTTCCTTTAGCCTGCAAAAGCAAAAAAAAAAAGAGAGAAAAACATTAGATTGGATAAATTATCCATGTTGTGGATAAATCTAGCAAGCAGAAACACATGAGAGGTGCAAGATGCAAGAGCATCACTAGACATCAAATCCATGAGAGGTGCTGTAAAAGTAACACTGTTGATGAGGTGCAAAGCTTCATCATATCCTCAACCTCTGTGTGTCATAATCTCATTTCATTATATGACCCCCCGAAATGAACACATTCAAGATGGAACAAAACACATCCTTGCCTCCACAGGTTTCATGGAGATGGAAGCAAAAAATGATAGCCTAGAAGGAATACAGAGAGATTGTCTCAGCAGCCAAGGATCAGGTTAGAAGAGCTAAAGCCCTGGTAGAATTAAACCTTGCCAGGGATGTCAAGGGCACCATGAAAACTTTCTATAGGTACATTAGTGATAAAGAAAGACTAGGGAAAACATATACCCTCTCCAGAAGGAAACAGGAGACCTGCTTACCCAGGACAATGAGAAGGCTGAGGTACTCAACAACTTTTTCCCTTCAGTCTTCACCAGTGACTGCTCCAGCCACACCAACCAAGTCACAGAAGACAAATGCGGGACTGAGAGAATGAAGAGCTGCCCACTATACTAAAAGATCAGAGGGATTTTTTACAAGGGCATGTAGTGATATGACAAAGGAAAGGACTTTAAACTGAAAGAGGGTAAATGTAGATTAGATATAAGGAAGAAATTCTTCAATGAGTAATGAGGAACCAGATCAGGTTGCCCAGAGAAGTTGTGGCTGCCCCATCCTTGGAAGTGTTCATGACCAAGTTGCACGGGGCTTTGAACAACCTGGTCTAGTGGAAGGAATCCCTGCCCATGTCAGGGGAGTTGAAATCAAATGATCTTTAAGGTCCCTTCCAAGCCAAACTATTCTATATTCAGGTAGCCCTTCAAATCTTCGTACCCAACAAAATGCTATATACTATTCTCAAACTGATTTTGCCCAGATTTAAAGGGCTATTTGTAGTCAAGCCTCAAAACAAAAGGAAGTTTTTCAGAATTCGTGAATCACAAAGCAAACTAGATTTTGGGTTTGGTAGTGTTGTTTTAAGTATTCAGGAAATTAAGATCCTTATAAGGGATTTCAGCTTCAGCAGCACTATCCACTAATTTACAGTTTACTGTCAGGATTGAGATAAAGAAATTAAAATTTAACAGCAAGGATTGACACAGCCCACAAAAACCAGGACACATGCCAGAAGAAACCACAGAGCCTACACAATCAATATCTGCTCATTCAGAGCACAGATTACCTAAAGGAGTGAGAATGGAAAAAACAGAGCCAGGCTCACCAAGGCAGCTGTCTGTTAAGATAGTCACCTCTTCTGGGGATGTGATGTGCTCCTCTCACCTGTCATGCCACCACCTCAGCTGTCACTTCTTCCTTAGTCCCCCCTCCTCTGCCTTCCTCATCAGATGGCTGTTATTCTCCCCCAGTGCAATAATCATACAGATCTGGCTGCCTTTACACACTTCTAATAACCTTTCTAATACACATGAAAATCAACAGTAAACCTGTGCAGAGCTTTTTGGTTGCGCTGCAGAAACAGCCAGATTTTCACTATCTTTTCCTCACCCACATCTCAAGGAAAGTCACACCCACTCATCCATTTTCCTCCTTCCTCTACCTTTCCTCACTGCAAAAGTGTTGCAGTCCCCAGGGCATAAATTCTCATTCTCCTCCTAGGTAAAGCATCGGCTTTCTAAACTCATAAATTGACGTGTGTTAAGGACCACAGACCTAGCAACTTCCTTGGTATTTTAGTTATTTCACAGTACATATCCAAGATGTGCTACAAATGACTGATTGAAATTCTGCTCCGGCTTGGCCTGTCTGTGGATGGTGTGTGACTGCTCCCCACACAGCTGAGGAATTTCACAGAAACTAATCAATACTAGAAATCTACAAGATCTGCCTCCAGCATCTTCCAGAACCAGTCTCTTCACACCACAAAAACCCACAAAGCTCTTTCTGTGGGTTCATCTACTCAAGCTATTTCTGCTTCACCCCACAACTCCTTCCCTTCTGTGAGGCACACCACAGGTTACACGGCCTCTCAAGCATAGAAAGATCCACCATTTAAACTTCACAGGTTTTTAAGTCTATTGGAACCTGAATCTCTTGATCTGGTTTGCAGAATTTTTGAACTTGCTGAACACATCAGTTATGACAGTTATGCTAATTAATCAGCACAGCAACTTGTCATTTTATTATCCCTACATGATGTGGTAAACAATATACCAACTCAGGTGGTCACCAGAGATGAAGTGACTGTTACACAATCACCTTCCTTCTAGCTTACTCACTGACAGCAGCTTTAAGGATGCTCTTGCAGCTACAACATATTGAGGTGAAGAACCTAGCTGCAAATAGGTGGTATCCAAGATACACTGCCACTCACTTAACAGAATGCAGATGTGAATTAAAATAGTATCTGTGCTAAGAACTGCTTGCTAACAATCTGGGAAATAAATTCTGAAAAGCAGCAATATAAGGTGCCATCATAGCTAGGCTGGAAAAAAAGATGCTGAATTACCCAACAGGTCTTAGTAATCTTGATCCAAGGACAGAGCAAGCGATGGTCTCCTGCCACCTGCAGGGAAAATGGAGATTTGAAAGCTTCACCTTTGTTTTACTCAAGGAGAGGTATTGGCATAATCAGGGTAGACAGCATGGAATCATAAAACAAACTGCATTAGTGCCATTGCTTCCTCAAGTGAGCAAGGAAAGGACGTTCAGTAATGGGAATACATTTAGTTTGTGTTACTGACACTTTTGAAGCCAGAGGAACACAGTGCAGAGCTCCAGAAGGAAGCACAAGTGTAACAAATACAAAAGGAACTGTAACATAGTAATGGCACATTCATGTGGCTACAGCTACAAAACCAGCTAGGGGCATGCTATACAGAACAGGTGTACTGAGCTCCTAGGAAATCTGCTGTGCCTCTTGATTTTATTTGGTGCACTGATAAATTGCCATTCTTCTCTTAACAACAAACCTTTACTTTTGTTTTAAAGCCTTTTTTCAGGTCAATACTACCTCATCCCATCAAGATAAGAGAATAATTTATCTCTGTGCAGAATCTCTCTCAATCCATGAGCACAAATGTCTACCGCAAATGGCATGTCTGTCTCATGCCATGCACAGACTATTCTCTAGCGAAAGAGACAGTCGAAAGAGACAGTATTTTCTTACACTAAGTAGGCACAAACCAACAAATGCCCAAGAGAACCTAACTTTAAAATACATTCACAGAAAACTGAAAAGTCAGCACAAAAAGCACTAAGCAGGATCCAGTATCAGCTGTCAAGGACAAAAGCTACATCAATGGTCAGTGTCTACACAAAACAGTCATTCTCTTGTTGGGGATGGAATTTGTCATATGCATTTACATACAAGCTATATAAAACAGTAGCAACAGGAAAACAAAAACAACAACAAAAAAAAACCCACAACAACAACAAAAAAAAGAGACTTCTGTCAACTGCTTAAGTTTAAGGACTTTTCATTGCAAATGAATCACCACCAGTGCTGTTGTCAGCTCCTCCTGTCCTCCTCAAACATAGCAAGCCGGCCAGATGGCAACTTTCAGGCCAGTCTCATCCTGACACCAAATCTGCTTCCTGAGCCAGGACAAAATTCAGCCACTTGCCATGCTGCACATCAGTAGAGGAAGCAGATCACCCTCTTCTTCCTCAGTCATTTCTCTTCCCAAACCACTGAGCATCACTGGAACAGCATCATGTGAGCTCTACCAACTGCATTTCCTCGACCAACAGTTAACTAGGTAAGATCACTCAGGTGGAAAGCTCAGCTGTAGTTCTCCCAATAAACACAGTTTTTCTTCCAGTCTAATTTTCTTTCTCATTGTCAGAGCATCAGTCACAGTTCTACGGAGGTCACCATTTCTGAGAAAAAAAAATTCTGAGTGATTCCTCATTGGCTACTTTTTATGACCAGCACACCAGATAAAACTGGTTGTATTTGGAAGACAGCAACAGCTACAGATCTCACTAATCCCAGAAGCTTTCATGAGAAAGGCCTTTCTTTATCCCTTCCCTGCACGGGGACAAGAAACCAAGTGCCCTGGACCAGTCCAAGAACTTGGAGAACATTTCCATTCATGTACAGAAAAGATATTTTGGGTCAGACTACACCATTATGCCTGCATAAAGTACAGGTAAAATGCTCATTCGCTAAGATTTCTGATCACAAATACAGATAAGAGCTAAAGATAATGACAAACCACTGCTTTTCATTAAAAAGTTCATGAGCTAGAACGTGGCAAAACCACTACTACATTAACTCTTAAAAAAACCAAACCAGTCCAGCAAGCTCGAGTGAGTGGGCTGAAGACCTCCATAACATCCCGGCTCTGCTAAACAGAGCAGGAGAGGGGGAGGAGGGTGATCGGTGTGCTGCGGTTCCCTTCCAGCCCGCAGCAGCGGTGGGCTCGGCGGGGCCACCGATCTCCAGGGCCCTTCCACGGGCCCCAGCTCGCCCCGCCGCGCCCCCGAGACCCCGCAGCGCCGCGCAGGCGGCGAGGCTCAGCCCAAGCGAAGAGCCGGAGGCCGCCGCCGGGCAGGCAGAGCCGGCCCTCCCGGCTCGCCGGGAGCCGCGGCCCTTCCCGGCCCCGCCGCAGCGCTCCCGGAGCCATCCCGCGCCCCCCGGCCGGGACCCCGCCGCGGCTGTACCAGGCCGGCCGCGGGCGCTCCGGGCTGCAGCGCGGCCGCCACCCCGCGGCACGCCCGGCACGGCGGGGCGGGCGGGCTGCGGCCGCAGCTCCCTCGCCCCGGGAGCCGTTCCCCGCGCCGGGACCCAGGGCGGCGGGGAGGAAACGCGCCGCCGCTGTTACCGTGGTCGCCGCTGACGGCCGCGAGCCCGCTGTCGCCGCCCCGCGCCGCCGCTGCCGGCGCTGGCAGCCGGAGGTGACGCGCTCCCGGGGCGGGGCCCGGTGACGCGCCAGGGACGCGGCCGCGGCGGGGACGGGACCGGCAGGATCAGCATGGTGAGCCGGGAGCGGGCCGGGGGGACGTCCGGCTGGGATCGGGTCTCTCCTTGGCTCATCGCGGCTGTGTGTCCTGTCCTTGCAGGGGAAGCAGAAGAAGGCGCGGAAGTACGCGGTGATGAAGCGCATGATCAGCCTCCGGGACGAGCGCCTGTGAGTGCGGCTGCGGCTGGGCCCTGCCCCGCGCGGGCCCCGGAGCGTCCTCGTGTCCCGCTCGAGAGAGGCGGGAGGAGGTCCCGGCCTCTCCGCCGCCCGGAGCTCTTCCTTGTCGCTGTGCCCCAGCAGTGCCTATGTTTCTTTGCAGTAAAGAGAAGGATCGCGCAAAAGCCCCCGTGAAGAAGAAGGAGGACCCGAGTGCCATCAAAGAGCGGGAGGTGTAAGTGCTGCCGAGGCACTGGGGGGGAGAGAAGGAAGGAGGGAGGGCCGGCCACGCTGCAGGCTGGAACTGAGGGTGTTCCTGAGCGATACTGTCAGAAGTGGTGCCCCAAACCGAAGCATTGTGCTTGGGACGCAGCAGGAAGCGTGATGGGTCTTTCTGTTCATTACTCTTCTTTTATTCTGTGCAAGCTGTAGGATTGGATGTGATGTTAAATGCAATTAACTGATTTGAATTCTTTGTCTTCCTGGCAGCCCCCAGCATCCCTCTTGCTTGTTCTTCCAGTATAATACACAGCTGGGCCCTCCTTACCACATCCTGGTTGACACTAACTTCATCAATTTCTCCATCAAGGCCAAACTGGACCTAGTGCAGTCGATGATGGACTGTCTCTATGCCAAATGTGAGTTTCTGCACCACTCACAGCTCCTTCAGACTACACAGTGCCAGTATGCTCGTAATGTGCTTTGTCAGCCTCATGCCACTGGCTGAGAATAACAGAAATCTTGTAGAAAGAATATGTGCTGTAATCATGGAGCTGTGGTAACTATGGCAATGTCTCTGGTTTCAGTCAAGTAACAGTTTTAAAATGCTAATCTCAGCAAAGCTAGAGTACTAATAACTTTAAAATCTAAAATTACCATGGCATGGTTAAACTTGGTGGCTCTATATTTCATCACCTTGCAACATTATTGGTTGACACTGTAAGTAATACATTATAGAGTTCCAAGATGTTTTTGGGGCATGTGGGCAGTATGTAGGGGTCTGGGAATAAATACCACTTTGTTTTAATGCGAGCTTTTTTTGCATTTAGGTATTCCATGTATCACAGATTGCGTAATGGGTGAAATTGAGAAGTTAGGACAGAAGTACCGTGTGGCATTAAGGTAGGTGCAGGTTGTTCTTCTCGGTTTCTAGAACTTAATGCTTTAATATAAATAAATTAAAAACACTTGCTATGACTGGTGCTCCTGCACTAGAAGGTGGTTAGGTTGTTGCAGGATCCTGAACTTGGTTGTATTTCTCTGTCTCTATATCAGTACAATGGCTCAACTTTTAGAAACTAAATACTAGGCATGCGTGTACAATATTAATCTGTAAATCTTTTAACCTCTTAAGACTTTCAAAGTAATGCTTTTTTCTCTTTCTCAAAAAAAAAATCATTATAGAACTTCTAAATTGAATAAAGTGACCCAAATCTTACAGAATATTTTCATTCCTACTTCATGTTATTCTTGTATGAGTAGGTACCAAGTACTGATAATATAGAACCAGGTTATTGTGTAGTCTGTACAAAACTAGTCCAGTGTAGTTAATGTGCATCACTCAGATGTAATGTTCTTTTTATTTTGGCTTGCTGTTTTGTAAAGTATACGAGTGCATATCCTCAACAGCTTTGATGTTGCCCTTCAGACAGGAGGTGAAATGTCCCTTTATGCATGGTACAAACGATCACATGCCAGAAGTTCTAGTTTTTCCCAGATAACTTACTTCCAATTTTTTTTTTTGACAATGGCCTAACATTGCACAGATTCTGAATCCAACAAACCAGTACTAAGAAATACTTAACCTATAATAACTAGACAAATTGCATTCATTTTTTTGCAGGTCATTTCAGTTGACCTTTGTCTACCATTTACTCTATCACTTCATCCCTTGTTTTGAAAACAATGTTCTGTATATCACAGAAAGGGGTGTTCTTGTTTCTCCATACTATGTTACTGTACCCTCTGGTCTGATTGCTGTGATGCTGCTTTTTATGTCCCCACAGAATTGCCAAGGACCCTCGGTTTGAACGCTTGCCGTGTATGCACAAAGGAACCTACGCCGATGACTGCTTGGTGCAGAGGGTCACTCAGGTATTTCCCTTTCTGACATTTTCTATACCGTGCTAACATACTAAAAATTCCTGAACCCTACTAATTACTGACTGACTTAAATTTTCCACACAGTAACTATAAAATCTCACCAAGGGGCATTTTCAGTTCTAGCACAACTTTATTTGCTGCAAGGTATTATCTTCCCTGAACATTCCTGTTGTATAGGACAGCATCAAGAAGCACTTGGGATGGGAAAGCTGTCAGCTTGAAGGGCTGGACAGAGTTTCAGAGATTTCTTGAGTCTATTTTGATGGGCAGAAGGATGTTATTAGTCTGCTGTGGAATTCTGTACAAGTCCTGGTACTGCCTTGCTAAGGACATTCAGCCTCCTTGTGTTCAGTGAGCTCATGAATAGGAGCGTTTGGTCAGCCATGACTCCTTTTTGGGATTCACTGGTGTTGAATCTGACTTGCCTTCTTTTTTTTTTACAGCACAAATGTTACATTGTGGCCACAGTGGATAAAGAGCTCAAGCGGAGAATACGAAAAATCCCTGGAGTGCCCATAATGTATATTTCCAGGCACAGGTAAGGGCCCCCTGGCAGGAAGGAATCCTGCCCAGTGCAGTCCTTGACTGACTGTCACCATGCACTTCTCTCCTTCATTGTCTGTAGTGCAGGCTGCAGTAAAGGGCCTGGTGTTTACACAGAAGTTAAAGCACAGCTACTGCTGGGAAGAGACTGGTCACAGACCCATTTTTATTGCAGTCTACATGTTCACTTGTCTTTGCCTGAATAAGTTTCCTTAAGGCTAGCATTTCCATAGATCAGTTTTGCTTACCAGCAGCAGCATGACTACAAGGCAAATGCATTCTACAGGTTCTTGAAGAAAAGAACAATTCCTGTTTCATATTCTGTTCAGTAGCTTTGTGTACCCTCAGCCAAGAGACTGAATTTGCTTCTTACCTAAAAACCAAACCAACTCAGAAGGATACTAGTGCAGCACATTTGAAATTAGGAGTTTGTTTGCTATAGATATGTAAAGTTTTAACTGATTTATAATTAGAATGTGGCTCAAACGATTTTTCTCTCAAAACACCTTTTCTCCTTATTCACTGTGGCATGAACATTTGGAAAAGACTGCCAAGGGTGGTGATGGAGTCACCATCCCTGGGGGTGTTCAAGAAATAATTGTACAATGCACTTAGTGCCATGGTCTAATTCTCAAGGTGATATTCAGTCAAAGGCTGGACTCTGTGATCTTGGAGGTCTTTTCCAATCTAAGTGATTCTGTGAATTATAAGTTGAATGTCTAAACATTGTTTTCCGGGTGATCTGCTCTTAAATCCTAAATCAGATCTTACAAAACTGCAGGGTTTTTTTCTTCTCTGGAGATGGTGAGTTTTTGAGATGTCTGATTGCTGAGTTTAAGGTGAAGAATAACAGCAACCTTATGAAGACTTTTTACTTTCAGAAATAATACTTTTCTTCCTGGGGATCTGAGTTGCAGATAGAAATGCAACAATTCACTATTCAGTTTACCTGAAAGCCTGTTGCTGCATGGGTGTCACAAATGAATACTTTAGTCCACTTGACGAATCACAGGGATTCTTCACAGGGAAAAGCAAAAGCAGCTTTTAATACAAGATTGTAGTAGTGTGATTTTAACAGAGTTTAATGGCAAGGTTCATTCTATTACTACATGGATGAAACATACAAAGGAAAATTGACTTTCAATCACTTTAGAATGTTTTGTATGGAGATCAGAAGTGCAAAGGACGACCCTCTCATTGAGTCATGAGGTTCAATAAGGATCACCTTGTTTTCCAAATCTCCTGATGGAGTCCAGCTGCAGCTGCATCCAGTCTTAGTCCCAGACTTAGTCAACAGTCTTTATCTTAATTAGATTTTGGAAGTACTTAATCATTGACTAATTTAACATTTATAAAGTGATTCTATAGGGTTTACTACAATTATAACAGTGACTTAATTATAGTTTCAGGAAGCAATGTTCATTCTATACTCAGTAAAAAGTATATCAGTCAATTCACATGCATGCACACTGACACAAAGATGTATATGTAAATATATGAAGGTACCAGTTAAAAATTCCCCTCAGCTTCAGTGAAACATGTGGAATGTCTCTGCATTTCTCAACAGGCAAGGCTTGAGTGACAATCCTCAAGTGTCTCAGCCTTGAGACCAAGAGGCATTCTGCTCAGAGAGAGGTGCTGGTGCAGCCCATGGCAGTCCAGGAAATCTCGAAGGGCCTCACCTTAAGACCACTGCTTATAGGGTCACAAGATGATTGCTTTTAGTCATGCATAAATTTTACATCTTGGCCATAATCCAGACTGGTAACTACTAGAGTTTCCAAAACTCTGGTAACATTGGTACCATTCCACTGAGGCCACAACTTAGATAGGATTGTCAGAGGATGGCTGACAATCTCATCCTTCACCACAGACCGGCAACTGGAGTTCCCAGTACAGGCAGTGCTGTTCTCACCTCAGCCATGCAAGGCTTCCTGGTGTGCTCAAGGGATGCTTCACCACCTAACTCATTACACAAAGGCCAAGGCCTAGCAGGAATCCCTGAGATGGTAGTGCAGCCTTGAGGAAGAAGAGGGGGTAGATGCACTACCACAGTGGGGAGGGGAGCATTGTGGAGTAGATTGTCTTCATAAGTTTTCCTTCTTTCTCAGGTACAATATTGAGAGGATGCCAGATGATTATGGAGCTCCTCGATTCTAACCTGTCCAGTCAAGCCATCAATGCCAGGACTGTGAGCCAGCATAAGGGACCTTCTGATTCTACCCTCCTCCTTTCTTCTTTTGTTGGAACTCTGCTCATAGGACTGTGGATAACACCAAACTGACTTCTTAACCTTGTTTTTCTAAGAAAAAGCTATTTGGAAGAGTCTGGTTTTATTTATCCATCCTCTGCCTTGGTCTGGTTACCTACAGCTGGGAGCAGCATATGGGAAACAGAGGGCAGCAGGACCAAGAATATGCCTAGCTCTGCATCGGGACCATTGGAAAAAGTGATTTCAGCATTTTGAATTAAATATTGATGATGCAACTCTGAGAACGAAACCACAAGAGATTTTAACGGTTCTTACTGCTGCACCTGGAGTACACCTAGGACAGGTATTCCTTTAGGAAGCTACCTCACACCTGTTTAGTCAAATCAGAATCTGCATTCTGCAGAAAATGACATCAGATCTGCACCTGTTGGTGGCTTTCTCTGGAAAAGCAGTCTAGATTTTAATTCAGAATTGATAGGCTTTTATTCAGCTGCACAGTGAATGAAGTTTATATAAGTGTCCGCTCAGACTGCTCTTTCTGTACTTGGTTAGCTGGCAGCTCCGTCCTTTTGCTTACATTTAGAGTGGTGGAGTGCAGGACAGGGTTGGGTTGGGACAAGTCTTTTGCTCCTGTTTGTTTGGGTCCTATGCACCTCAAAGCCTTACCACTTCTGTTATGTATCGGGGGCCAAGAAGGGAAGTGTCTAAAGGGCAAAGGTATTAATGTGGGCTGGGAGCACAGTCGTTGTGGAGGAGTAAGAACAATGGTTGCAGATAGAGTCTTCCAGAGACCTGCAGAATTTGCTGCAGGGAAGAGGTGGTCAGGGCAGGAGGGAGAAGAAATTATTAAACCACACGAAGAAATGTAGGGGGGAAAGTATTTCAAAGCCATAACTTGGCTTTCTTATATCTCCTCCATTTTTAGCAATATATTATAATATATTATAATATAATATAATCATAATGCTGTTATGATCTCTGCTGTGTGGTGCAGAGAGGGTCACCAGGAGCCAACATGCCAAAGCACACTTCCTGGCCAAAATGCTAGAGGTGTAGTACAGGAGAAGACTGAAAATTTATATTCTTGGTATAATTAAAAAAATTTCCGAACCTTAGCAGAGCTTTATCCTGTAGTCCTTTACACTGGTTTGGCTGCAGAGGTGGCCACAAAGGCCAACAGCATCCTTGCCTGTGTCAGAAATAGTGTGGCCAACAGGACTAGGGAAGCAATCCTCCCCCTGTACTTGGTGCTGGTGAGGCTGCACCTTGAGTCCTGTATTTAGTTCTGGGTCCCTCATTACAAGACAAGACATTGAGGTGCTGGAGTGTGTCCAGAGAAGGACAATGGAGCTGGTGAAGGGCCTGGAGCACAAGTCTGATGAGAAGTAACTGAGGGAGTTGATGTTTAGTCTGGAGAAAAGAAGGCTCAGGGGAGACCTTATCAGTCTCTACTACTACCAAGAAGGAAGGTGTAGCCAGGTGGGTGTCAGTCTCTTCTCCCAGGTAACAGGTGACAGGATTAGAGGAAATGGCCTCAAGTTGTGCCATGCAAAGATTGGATATTGGGAAAAAATTCTTCACTGAAAAGGTGGTCAAGCATTGGAGCAGGCTGCCTAGGGAAGTGGTAGAATCCCTGGGCCTGGAAGCATTAAAGCGTGGATGTGGTGCTGAGAGACATGGTTTAGTGGTGGATTTGGCAGTGCTGTTTCAATGGTTGGCAATTGCTAAAGATGTATTAGGAGGGTTGGAGAATGAGCAGAAGAAAGTATTGGCAGTGAGAAAACCCATCAGGAAATTTTCATTAATTGAGTATAATTGGTAAGAAAAAACTTGGCTATTAACTTGAAGAGCCTGGTCAGAAGATAAATAGGACAGGACAGGACCACCTGAATGATCAGCTGCTTCTCCTGCAATGCCAGACAACCTGTGTACTAAACACTTGGTTCAGAGGAAAATGTTTACTACATGCACACAATGGCATCCCAGTGTCTGATCCAATTTACAGTATATGAGAGGAGGAAAGATCATTGTCACAGGAAAGAGTTTGGTAAACTAGAGTATTTTGATGTTCCCACAAATGCAGAACTCTGTTAGTCCAAACCAGAAGAGAAATTCCTGACTCAACTCTGGCAGTTGGTTTAAATGTGCACGGGAGTTAGATATCAGGTGCTTGCAGTGTTTCTTAGTAATTAGAGAATTTAGCCTCCCTGCTAACATCCTGTCTCCTGCTATAGCCAGTTTCCATAGCTTCAAAAGACAGAGAACATATGGGAGCACCACATAAAGAAAATCTGAATATATGCAAAAAATGGTAGGAAATAATTTCTACTCCTTTCTGGAGCCACCAGAAGGTTTAAGATTACTACAGGCTTACTAGATGAAGAAATTTAAGCTGCTGATCCAAGATGTGACACTGGTTAATTGAGGGGTAACTGAGATGTGGTATAATAGTGTTTAAAAGCAGGAAGAACATGAGCTATTTAAAAAAAAAATTAACCCAAACCAACATGATGGCACCCTTTAATGTTACAGACTGAACAGAATAAAGGAATAAAAATAACATATTCTGAATAGAAGGATAATAGGGCATAATGTAAACTTAACAGGTTGGTTTTTTTGTAAGATTGGGTAAGGCCAGTGTATCTTGTCTGGTAGGAGTCAACTGTAGTGCAACCCAAACCAGATTTCAATATTGAAGAAGCATCTGTCAAGTTATTTGGAAGTTATATTTTGGCTTCCACAATGTAGGCTGGAAAACAATTGTCCTGAAAACGTTTAGGTACACGTATTCCCTCACAAGGGAAGTAACAAATCTCTTGACAGTATTGCATGACCACAACAGACAGCAAAAATAGTAGGAGAGACTTGCCTGCAGGAAATAACTGTTAGTAAACTGATCACAAGGGAACTTACATACAGTGAATAGATCAGGAGGATAAATTAAAGGATGTTTGCAACAGGAATTCCCTATATTGCAAGGACAGAGTTTCAAAAGCTTAGTGAGTAAACTGGCCCATAGAACTTGGGTATATAAATGCCAAATACAGTATAATGAAGAGTAGATTCGGAGTAAAAACACAAATGCTATCTGAAAGTCATATTCACTGCAAGAGAAATCTAAACAGACCATCCTAAATAGAAAAGGATGAATAATAGTCTCTAAATGAAAAGAAGGGATACTAAAGAATAGAAAAGACAGTTCTATTAGTATCAAATTAAGATAGTTTTCTTAAATATTTGCATCTCAGTTGAATTTAGTCAAATATTTTCTTGCAGATTCATGGTGTATCTCCTCTGTGGATTTCCTGAAATTCAACAATGAATGAACATAAAGTCCAGTTTTTCTACCAGAGAGAATAAAGCTTCCCTGCCTAACAATGTGATTTTCTTGATATTTCTCCTGACTGAAAAATCTTAGGACCTTTCCTGCACACCTGCCTTTGATCAGGCACGAAGTAGTGAACATGACAGAAATGGCTGAGGGTTCCTGTGTGTGTAGAGGAGACGGAGCAGGGACACCGCGTGCTGGCGTGCTGCTGACCCGTAGCCGCCAGGCTGCACTGCCCAGCTGCTGGAATTCACTCATAGGCACTTCAGCGCTTGGCATAAATCATATTGCCTACAGAACATACTTGTATGTTTAACTCGTGCTTCGGCGTGAGTAACCGAGGGCATCGACGCCGCCGCCCCAGGGACACCACGGCCCGCGGGAGCGCCGCGCCCGCCACACACAGCCCAGCTTGCGGGGGTCCTGGCGGCACCCCACACGCAAGGGAAGGCGCGGCGCCGGCCCGCAGTGGCCGCGGTGTGTCCCAGCCCCGTCCGGTCCCTTGTCCCCGGCCGCCATGTGTCGCTCCGGGCTGCCCCCGGCCCCGCGCTGCGGGCAGCTGACGCTAGGCGGCGCTGCCACCCGCCCAGCGGGGCGCTCTGGCGCGGCGCTCACGCTCCACTGCCCGGCGGGGGCGGGGCCTCTCCGCGCAGGCGCCGTGCGCCGCCCGCCGCCGCGGCCTGTGTCCGCTCCGCGCTCCGCCATGTACCCGGCCTGGGGCTTGTACGGGGCGGCCGGGCACTACCCGCCGCCCCCCACCTCCATCCCGCCCCCGCCGCTGCCCATCCCTCCCCCCAGCGTGCCGCCTCCCGCCGTTCCGCCGATGCCGCTTCCCAGCTACCCGCCGCCGGGGCCCGCGCCCCCCGCCGCCGCGCCGCCGCCCGCCGGTTCCTCGGGGTTCCTGAGCCTGCAGGAGCAGCACCTGGCCCAGCTGCAGCAGCTCCAGCAGATGCACCAGAAGCAGCTGCAGTCCGTACTCTTGGGCCCCCCGCCGCCGCCGGGCCCGCCCCCGCCGGGGCTGCCGCCGCCGCCGCTGCCCGGCTCCTTCACCGACTGGCAGCAGCAGCCGCCGGTGCCGCCGGTGCCGCCGCCGGTCCGCAGCTACCAGAAGCAGTACGCCCACCGTGAGCCACCGCCCCGCAAGCCGCCCCCCGCGGCTCGGGACCGCGACGGGCAGGAGCCGCCCGGCGGGCACGGCGACTGGGGCGAGCCGGTGCCCGCCGAGTCGGTGCCCATGGACATGGAGCTGTCCTCGCCGCCGCAGTCCCCGCAGCCCGGCGCACAGCCCTACCTACCCCCCGCCCAGCCCTACCTGCCGCCGCCCCAGACCGAGCCTTACCTGCCCCCCGCCCAGCCGCCCCCAGCCCAGTCCCCGCCGCTCCAGCCCTACCTGCCCCGGGCGCAGCCCTCCCAGCCGCCCCCCTCCTTCTCCGAGCCCCCGCCCTCCTACCTGGAGCCCCCGCCGGTCACCGCCTCCCAGCCCTACCTGCCGCCTCCTGCCCAGGGCTACATGGCACATCCCCAGCCCTACCTGCTCTCCTCACAGAGCTCTCCTTCCCAGCCCGCGCAGCCCGCCCTGGCCCCCTCCATCCCTCCCCCGGTCAAGCCGTCGCAGGCTCATTTCCCGCCGCCCCAGACCTCCTTGCCCCCGCCTGCCGCTGCCCAGCCGGAGGCCGCGCAAGGTGCTGCCAAGGAGGGCGGTGGCACGGAGCAGCCGGACCCCTCCACCATGACTCCCCAGGTAAGGCCGCCCGGCTGGCAGCGGGGAGTCGCAGGACAGCGGTGGCGATGAGCCGCTGGCAGGTACGGGGTGTTGCAAGGGTCCCCGAGTAAGGACAGTTAATAAACACACCGTATTTGCATAGTATTGAAGGGATTTGGACGCAATCCATGTAAATGTGGCAATGGCGCAGCTCAGGGGTACCTTCTTACCCAGTGGTGTTTGTAGGGATGTAACAAATTGTCATTTCTCAAGAAAAATTGTTTAGGGAAAAATGTAAATCTTGGCTGACTTGAATTTTCTTGCGTGTGTGTTGGTCTCTGGAGAATGTATTCCAAAGTACAGCATGTGGGTACTGTACCTGCCTCTAGGTACCTCAACCCCTGTTGGCTTTGTCTGGCCTCTTGTGAGATGCATCAGGTTGTTTCCTTGTTGTTGTGGGATGTCACTTGTCTTCAGTGAGTTCTTTATTACAGCTTTTTTAAGGGGTTGAGTTACAGTTTTCTACCTGATCAGTGTAGAATTGTGACTATTTTAATCTTATCATACACAATTAAAGCAGCAGAAATGTTTCACTTGAAGTACGTACTTGCCCTCTACTTAGACGTAATCCACATTTTGTGCTACGTTGTGTTTGATCTTCCAGTATAAAATTGCATAGGGCATTGTAGGGAAATGTTCTGAAACACCTTGAAGTGAAATATGTCATAGCTGTGTGATTTTTATGTGTACACTAGGGCCAAAATACTGCAAAATGTTTGCATGCTTCACTTCCTAAATGAGACCAGTTCCAGTGAACTTGATGGGACCATGCATCTGCATTGTCAGGGACGATCATGGCTTAAGGTTCAGCGTGCACAGCAAGGCACATGTGTTGAGGCCCTCAGCTATGTCAGTGGGTCAGGCACGTCCACTGAGGCTTTTGCATGGGTTTAGAGTTATCTTATGGAGATCTACCTGCAAGAACAAACTGAACTGCATACTTTGAAATTTCTTTATTTGAATCTGTTTTTTGCTAAATTGATCTTAGGGTTCTGATTTGAACCTAGGTTTGCAAAAATTCTATTGTGTCATATTGAAGTCACTGACACTTTAAATTTGCTAATTGCTCGGACATGTCATTTTTACATTTGCACCATATAACTAATTACTGCCTGGCAAAGTAGTGCTTTCAGTTCATTTCGCTTAATTTTATGAAGGTTTTGGACAGTACTAATTGATCTTTTATCGTGATAATAACAAGACTTAATTTTTTAATGACAAAACCAAAACCTCAAAAAGTCATGTGTAGAAAGTGCTGCTAATTTGGTATTGAGTCAGCTTGTTGACTTCTTATTGAGCTCAGTGATAAAACATTGGTCACATAACTCCAGAAGAGTTGCAAATAATGCTTTATTGTGGTGCGCACATGGAAGCAGCAGAATACTGCTGAAGTTTACATTGTCTGGTTTATGAGTGTTTATGTAAACTATCTTGAGTAGTTTGCTTGCTCTCATTCACAGTTCAATGTTATTTTAAAAGGAATATGATATTTTCCTGGTCATAACTTTGTTATAACAGCCAAAATTGTATCAATCTGTCTTAGGCTGTAAAATAAAACAGGCTTTGGAGTAACAAGCTTTTACACAGCAGGAATAGGAAAAGCTAAGTGTAGTGATGCTTTCATGTCTTTTAGTAATCTGAAAAGCTGAGTGAAGAAACAGTGTAATTTGTCATTGTAGTATCCTATTAAGCTGTTGTTTAAACTGGCAGTTGAAAGCAATTATTTATGTTTCTCATCCCACAGTAAGAGTGGCTGCAGACAAATATATCAGTGTTTTTCTCTTAAATCAGAATATATTATGCAATTTACCATGAGTTGGTGTTGTATTATTTTCCTTTCCTGTCTAAGATACTGTTCTTTGCCTTGACTGTATTGTGAGTTTAGCGTTGTTTCTTCCGTGAATATATAGTTGGATTAATTTGCTGGATTCTTGTCAAATCCAGTTGAAATAACTGTGGTATTTCCTTAATGTTCCATCTGATACTTGGGTAATGTATGCTGCTATTTGTTTACCATATCACAGACTGGGTAAGGTTGGAAGGGAACACAGCAGGTCATCTGGTTCAACCTCCCTACTCAAGCAGGGTCATCCCAGAGCACGTTGCACAGGGTTGTGTATTCCAAACAGTTATTGAATATCTTCACTGAGAGAGACTCCAGTCTCTCTGGGAAACCTGTTACAGTGCTCAGTCACTTGCATGGTAAAAAAGTTCTTTCTCATATTCAGGTGGAACTTCCTGTGCATCAGTTTCTGCCCGTTTCCCCTTTCCTTATTCCTTGGCATCACCAAGAAGAGCCTGGATCGTTCCTCTTGGCACCCTCCCTTCAGATACCCGTGTACATTGATGAGGTCCCCTCTCAGCTGTCTCATCTCAAGGCTGAACAGTCCCAGCTCCCTCAGCCTGTTCTTATTAGAGACAGATACTCCACTCCCTTGGCATCTTCATTGCTCTCTACTGGACTTGTTCCAGGAGTTCAAGTCTCTTGTATTGAAGAGCCCAAAACTGGACACAACACTCCAGGTGGGACCTCACTAGGGCTGAGTAGCAGGGCAGGATCACCTCCCTCAACCTGCTGACAATAGTCTTCCTACTCCAAGGATGCATGGGTACATCTGTACCCATAAATATGCATTTTATCTACATCTGTTGAAGCTACCTCAGCTTTACCACCTCACCATTTAGCAGACTGCTGCACTCTTTAAACAGCCCCTTTGTTTTGTAGAGAGTGCTAAACCATTCTTTCGCAATTTTTAACTGGAAAGGACACAGTGTGTCCCAAAATAGGTATTATGTTATGGCCTAGGGTCACCTGTATTAGCTTTGGAGTAGTCTTTTGGTGTGGACTTCACATTAACACGTTTGGTGGTATGTCCTGTGGTCAGGAGCTGATAGTGCTGGTTTCAGTGTTCCTGTAAATGCCACAGGCCTAGTCTCTTGATCAGCCAGAGATGGGAAAAGGCCTCTGTTGATGCTTGTGTATTCCGTGGGTTTAAGGATTATAATTGGACTTGAAAGATGACAAGTTCAGTTGAATGACAAGTCATTGTGAGGAGGTAAGCATTCAATGACTGAATTCTTCATCAGGAAGCATTTTCTACAACAGCACTTCCGTTTTGCTCCAACTAAGCTGTAAAAAATCTACCTTTCTGCTTTTCTTATACTTTTCAGATAGCACAGTAATAGATGTCATTGATTCATCTGCTGAAAATAATAGGTAATTATATTACCATAGCTGTGGAAAGCCCATGTCATATTATGAGTTCTAGCCCTATGTCCAGTTGGTGGAATGAGGAGGAAACAAAATGGATCTGTGGAGACAACAATTCTGTGGCAGTAGAACATGTGCTCACCCATCATAGCATCTAGCACCATGATGGCAAATCACCTTATAGTGAGTGCCTTTTGAGATGGATAATTGAATCAGGTTTTGTATAGCTGGGAAAGTATGCTCCTCCCTTGAGTTGCATTTACTCCAGCATGTTGTTGAAGGTTTCTGACAGAGTCTGTGCTGCAGTGTGTGTAATCTTCCACCAAAACTATGTTCCAAACTATGGAACTCTTCTGAGACATATTCTTGTTAAAAAGATTCAGGAATAATTGCATGATCAATTTAAAGTCTGTGAAGCATAGTCTCTCCTTTCATTAACCTAATTTCCAAGTTACAGAAGTATATTTTTTAAAAAATACACCTCCATATTTGTGTTTCCTACCAAGAGGAAACATCATTTCTGATCTGAGCATAAGGTAGGTTTCTAGCAGAAAGTTACTCTTCTTTTAAACCTGTTTGAGATGGGCAGAGTGATTCACTTTTGAGAAATCTCATCAGACAGCACTTACTGCTTTGATGTTGTCACACTTTTATTTTAAAATGCCTGCATCTTTTGGGTTCTTTTCTGTTTCTAACTTGGCTGTATATAGGTGTTTTTTCTTAACTGTGCATGCTTGGATGGAAAGAAAGAAGGTCAGTCACAGATTCTCAGAGGTAATGGAATTGAGAGCACAAGAATGGTTGCACCAGGTTAGGCCAAAAATTAGAGTATTTTATCATTCTGTCTTTGATAGTGACTAAAAGCAGATGTTAAGAGAACAACTTAAAAATCAAGCAATACTTTCCTAAGATACAGGAACTGTCTTAGCTGCAAATGGTGTATTTATTTTCAAAATATGTAGATTTTTCTGAGCTATGTCTTAAATCTGCAAAATTTTAGTCCTTGGGGAGGTCTGTGGTAGGGACTCTGGTGGCACAAGACCATGTCAGGTGAAGAGTAGCCTCCCACAGATGTCTTTCTGTTAATTTGATACCTGATATTTTTCATATTGGAAGAGATACAGAACCATTGTTTCTTATTCAGGTCTCTTTAGGACACTACTACTTAAGTGTTGAGATACAATCTCTGGTCTTTGTTCTTTATGTTAGTGGCAGCTTACTTTTTGAAGCTTCTGTCATCTGCCTTGAGTACTCTTAATTCAGGCAATACTAATCTTCACTATATCCTGGTTCTGATTCTTCTTTTTCTTTCCATAGCTTTGTTCAAACATCTTCACTACAATTTCTCAGCTACCATTTTGAATCTACTTGATGTCTGTGTTCTCTGTTCATCCTCTTCATCTCTTCTGTACATTTCCCCCTTTTTCTCTTTACTGTAGTTCTTAGATATAAAAAGCTGTAAAACCAATAAACATGGTACTTACAGCATGTCTGTAGTAATTTGCTTATTATTGCCTGTGCTCCAGATTTTGGTTAGTATTGTTCGCTATAGTTACAGTTATAGTTATAGAATAGTATATATTCTATAGTTATAGAATAGTAAGCTTGTTGGGGTAAAAAGTAAATTCTGTTATGGATTCTGTGCATCACATAGTGGTTTCTGAATTTTGATTTGATCTTCTGACATCCATTGCAATACTGTTGCTGAAGAAGTCAGTTTTTCCTCAAAACAGTTTTAAAAACTTTTCTACAGTATGACTCTAGTGACTGTCATTAATGATTTTGTATTGTTTTTTCTTGTGAAACTTAGAAAATCTACATCTATTACAGGAACAGCAGCAGTACTGGTACCAGCAGCACCTGCTTAGCCTGCAGCAAAGGGCAAAAGCCCATGCTCAGGGACAGCAGCAGATGAAAAGTCCAGTAGTGAAGGATGAGCAGAGAGCAAAGTCTGAAGAAGAGAAAATGAGTGCTCCAACTCAACAGTCTGAACCTCCTCCTCTTAATGAATCCCTGCCTCCAGCATCCAAAGAAGACGAGTCTTCTCTTACATCCACTGAAACTCAGGTAAGCTTTGTAAAGTGATACCACTCCATTTGTGTCCTAGACGAGCCAAAACCCCAGGAAAATTAATGCCATCAAATTCTCTTGTATACTCTGTAACAATAACTAAATATTGTGAAGCAATCTTAAAAAAGAATTTGCTAAAGCTGCACCAATTAGAAAATACACTTCTTGTATATAAAATTACATGTTCACCCACACGTGCACCAAGCAAGTCTGAGCTGACTCTCCCACACCATCCACAATGTTGTCATCTTTATCTGTGAGAGCACCTCATGATATTGAAGTGCAAAACCAGGTAGGTACTCAGTAGCTGAGGAATGCTATGTTTAAGACACTGTTTCTTCATTTCTTTCTGGCACTTTGTGCATTCTGGCTCCCCTTCTCTCTGTGCATTAGAGTTGTTCTGAAAGTCAGGAATTTTGCGCAGAGGTTTGTTCATCAGCATGCTCAGTAACAGTTACTGTAGAATAGATGGAGGTCATGATTGATGTTTGAAGAGTATGTGCTCCACTTTACCTTACACATGCAGGTTCCTACGAAGTGGCAGAAATAATGCCCTTGGAGTTACTTTACCTCATAATGAAAAAACACTGTTTCTCATTACATTTGCTGTGAGTGACAGATAACAGAATTTCATTACTCTCTTTCCTGTAGGTTATTTCTTTATACACGAATAACATAATTGCCATCAGCCTAACCTTTAGACTGTTCACATTAAGAAAAGATGTGTTCACATTCAGAAAAGGTGGGATAAAAGTCAGCCTTCTAGAAGCTGCAGGTGGCTGGAACACTAAAGTAGAGTGATACAGTAAGGAACAGTGAGAAAGTTCCTGTAAAATGCATAGTGACCAAGTGTATTTTTTTTCTGACAGATGCAACTTTCCTTTGTTTATAGTATTTGCCTTTTTCTGTAGCTCAATATTGAACCTCCTGATGACCCTGAAGAGGATTTGAGATTACAGCAATTGCAAGCAGCAGCAGCTCAATGGCAGCAGCACCCCCATCAGCGGGTTGGGTTCCAGTATCAGAGAATAATGCAGAAGCACGCTCAGCTGCAGCAGATAGTACAGCAGTATCAACAGATCATGCAACAGCCTCCACACTTAGAGGTGAGACACTAAGGAGGTGGTGTTTGATATACATCCTGGGTAACCCAGCACTCATAGTCTGCTGAAAAACACATAGTTGAATAATTTGTAATGGTTGACTCATTTGTCTAGCTATGTTTTCTGCTTGGGTAGAAGTTTATATCTATTTTCCCTACTGCCACTCAACATCAGAATGAAAAAAAGCTTTGACAGATGGTGATAAAGCTTCAGTAGGATGAGAAATACAAGATTTTACACTTCTTGTAAGATTTTTCACATGTACCTAAGTGATACAGGAGCAAAGCTGAACACAATATTGAATTTACTCAGCTTTGAATGTTTTGCCACTGGAGAAACAATTGAGAAAGGTCAGGTAAACAGATGATTGCACAGAGTAATTTGGAAGCTGCTCTTTTTTACAAAAATAAGTATGTACAATGATAAATACAGATGCCAAAAATAGACAGTAAATGTAATTTAAAAGATCAGTATCTCACATTATTTTTAACTCAAATAATCAGTTGAAACCAGTATTGTAACCTTTAAGCTTTTAAGCAGAAGTTGATTGCTGAATTAGAGAGTTGAGTCAACTCTTACTGGGTTGGTAGAGTTCGTATATTAGGCATTTTTTATAGGTTGGGCTGTCTTAATGTTTTGGGGTTTTTTTTAAATCTCTTTGGGTAAACCTTAAAAATCTCAGGCAAAATCAAGCCATGAATATTATGATATCGTCACGTAGTGAAAGAGCTTGAAAGAAGGTTCATTTGTGCAAATAAGATCTAGCAAAGGTTTAGAGAAAAATAATTACAGATTGCTGAGGCAATTCTGAGCAGGATAATAACCAAAACTGAAACCTTGAGAAATAGTCACATAACGTATATATGTGAAGATTGATTTGGGGTTTAGCCATTGTTAGGATGCAGCATTAATACAGTTTATACAGATTATAGGTTTCTTCAGCTGTCCTGTTGACGTCTTCTATACATAGATATAGTATATAGTCATAAAATACATAGATTTTCACAATACCTTTAGATGTCACTGTTGTTTGCTTTTGTTTTGGTGTAGTTCTTCCTCAAGCTTGTGCCCATGTCATCAGAAATTGTGATATTACAACTGATACTGAAATACATGGCTCTAAGAGTAACTGACTAACTAAGGTATTTTGAACCTATTCTTGTCATCTCATTGCAGACAATGTCAGTGGATATGCAGCTGCGACATTATGAGGCACAGCAAAAACAGTTCCAGCAGCTTCATAAAGATTGGGAGCGCTCAATGAACCAGCAGTGGCAGCATCAGCTTCAAACCTACCCTCACAAAGACCAGCTTCAAGAGTATGAGAAGCAGTGGAAAGCATGGGATGAACAGATGAAGGTTACTCAGTCACATCTGCAGGAAAAAGTGACCTCACTCCAAAATCTGAAGAATCAATATCCTGCAAATGTTTCGCTGCCACCTCCATTTATTCCATATTCTCAAACTGGTCAAGGTGGCATTCCTATTATGCCTCCAACTTTACCTTCAGCTACACCTCCACTGGTCCCCCCGCCTCTCTCTTCTGTTTCTCAGTTATCCAATTCCTCTGTCCCTTCAGGATCCAGTTCTCAAAGCAGTCAAACTACTGAAACACCAAGGCCAGCTCTCCTTCCCACCCCTGGTACCTATGCATCAAAAATAGCTAGTTCAACTAGCTATTCACCTTACCATTCTCAAGTAGGTTCATCCTTTGGCTCATCTGACCATGGAAAGTCTCAAGGTCATCTTAGTAAACAAACTGTAAATATTTCATCTGAACAACAGTGTGGGGAACTGAAAAGCACTTCTGCAGTATCTTCAACACACACACCTGTTGTGCAGGATAAACCAGTGAGGTCAGGTGGATTGCTTCCAGATCCTCCCAGATCAGCGCGTTTTGAAGGCCCTAGAGGCCCTAGGTAAGAATGTTTTTGCTGATTTATACATATTTCAGGCTACAAGATTTTCAGTGATTTTTTAAGAAATGAAATATATATCTTTTTCTCAAGTCTTTTTGAGGTTGTGTGAAGTGCCTATTTGTTCAGTGTAGGTTTTTTTTTTAATGTATGTATACCATGCTCTCTGTATTTATATTTTTAAAGCAAGGATACATAGATGTCTTTCACCTGAGCATAATCTAGAATAGTTTGCATTTTTTTTTTTTTTTGTAAAGTGCTTGAGGGTGCTGCCTCTTTTCATTCACAAAGACACAGTGATTTATCTTTGAAAATAGGAAAGCTGTTGTAAATATTTGGTATGTATTTGCTGATTTTATACCTGTTATATAATGTAATTCAGGATCTTGTTTTTTGAATATTTTTCTTTAATACATGATATCAGGGTGCAAAAACTACATCTGTTCTGTCTGCTCATTAGTTCAAGATGGGTTGGTGTGATGTCTGCTGAATCAAAAGGGCAGTGGTGTTCTGTTCAGTTGTTTCTATGCTTGCATACTCTGCTAGACTTTACAGTAATGTCTTTGTGGTTGTTCCTCTTCTCTTTGCTTCCAAAGCGATCAATCATGAATAATAATTTGTGAATTGCTAGCAATGTACATGAGCTTTGTCTAAATGAATCATTTTCTACCTCCTGGTAGTTTTTAAAAAGTGTTTCTGTTCCTGCGGATTTGTTGGATGTACAGTTCTAGACAGACTGTTTTCATGACTTGCTAGTGCATGTCTTTTATGTGTGTTGATGTTGGAATCCAGGACATCCCTCTGGCTGCCTTGGATGTCTCAAGACCCCAGCAGGGGGCTCGTAGACCCTGGCAAGAAGTCAAAAACACTTGTGGCTTCAATTTTAGCCTGTGGGAGAGACTGCCAACTCTATATGAGGAATTACAAGCCAAAAGGGTTTGAGTAGTGTAGTAGGTGAATTGACACAGGGTGGAAAAGTAGAATTTTAGGGTTTTTTAGAATGTAATCCAGGGGTACAAGATGGAGGAATTTGGGTGTGTCCTAGCCTTCTTTGCTTTTTTCTTGTACTCCATGTCTTGGTATGGTGGTGACACTTTTCTCTTGGTTTAAGGTAGAGATTCACTGTTTAACATAGGTGGTGGGCATTGGCACAAATCAGTAAACATACAATATGTAATTTTGAGTATATAATGTGGGGGCTGCCCACAAAAGGACTCGAGGCACACTGCTATAGCTTCTGTACTAGGCAGACCTCGGCAGGTCAGAGAGACAATATTATAGACAAGAAAGAATAAACAACCTTGAAAACTCGACTTCACACATTCCAGACCTCTTCTTCGGCTGCCAGGCTAGGGGAACAAGGACCTTCACACTGTTGGGGGTCTCACCAGCTGACCCTGACGTGTTGGTTTAGAGCTCAGTGATATGCAACGATACGCACAGGATGTCTTTCTGGGCTGGGAGCAGACATTTCTAGTTCATGTCCAGCTTTCCATCCACCAGCAACCCCAAGTCCTTCTTGGCAGGGTTGCTCTCGATCCCATCATCACCCAGCCTATACTGAGACCAGGTGCTGCCCGACCCAGGTGCAGGACCTTGTACTTGGCCACATGAGATTCCCATGGGCCTACTTCTCAGACTTTTCTAGGCATCTCTGGATGGCATCCTGTCCATCAGGCATGTCACCCACACCACTCAGTTTGGCATCCTCTGCAGACTTGATGAAGGTGTGCTTAATGCCACTGTCTATGTCATTGATGAAGATAAAAACAGTGCTCATCCCAGTCATCTGAGGGACATTACTTGTCACTGATCTCCGTCTGGACATTGAGCCATTGTCCCCTGTCCTCTAGATGTGACCATCCTGCCAGTTCCTCATCCACCAAATAGTCCCATCCATCAAATCCATCTCTCTCCAGTTTAGAAAGAAGGATGTTTTAGGATGTTCATGTCAAAGGCCTTAAAAAAGTCCAGACAGGTGACATCCATAGCTCTTCCTTTATCCACTAGTCACTCCGTCATAGAAGGCCACTGGGTTGGTCAGGCAGGACTTGCTCTTGGTGAAGCCATGCTGGCTGTTTCCAATGACCTCTGTGTCCTCTGTGTGCCTTAGCATAGCTTCTGGGATGACCTGTGAGGTGAGACTCACAGGTCAGTAGTTTCCAAGGTCCTTCTTTCTACCCTCTTTTAAAGTAGGCGCAGTGTTTTCCTTTTCCCTGTTCACCTGACTGTCACCATTTTCCAGATATCATGGAGAGTGGCTTTGCAAGTATGGTAGCAAATTCCCTGAGTATTCTGGTATGTATCTCATCAGGTCCCATACTTACATATATGTATCTACATAAATGTAAGTATATGTCAATACATATACTTACATATATTCAGGTTCTTCAGGTCATCATGAATCTGATCTTCTCTCTTACCATGAGAGTGACTTTGCACCCCTAGTCCCTGTTTTGCAATCCATCCACTCAGGAGGCATAGGGTTGTCAGTGAAAACTAAGGCAAAAAAGTTGAGTATCTGAGTCTTTTCCTCATGCATTTTTACAAGTTTTCCAGTTGTGTTTGTCCAAGGGGTACACTTTCTTTGACCTTTCCTTTCTGGCTGACATACCTATAGAAGCCCTTCTTGGAACTCTTTGCATCCCTTGGAAAATTCAGCTTCAGCTGTGCTTTGGCCTTCCTGACTCATCCAGTGATGTACAACTGTGAATCCCAAGCATCTAAGCAACTTGACTTTAGACATGAGTTCTCTATTTTGTGCAAAATTAATCTGTAGGACTTTCATATGACATGTTATTTGATTAAAATTTCTATTGTGTCATCTGTAGATTTGATGGACCTCGAGGAAGAGGATATGACAAATTTGAAGGCTCAAGACAGAGAGGACCTCGTTTTGACTCCCAGCGCTCAGAAGGATACAGGTCACGATTTGACCGACAGAATACAGATGGACAGTCTTCAAGTAGATGGGGCTCTATCCCCCGAGGACCAGCAGGACAATTTTATACAACAAATACATCACATGGACACGGTTCCCGACCTAGTGGTCCACGGTGGATGGGGCCCAGGCCTCATTTGGGACAGCAGCAGCAGCAGCAGCAGACACAGATAGACTCAGAGTCAGAAAGCAAAGAACCTTTTACAGACACAGCTGGTGATCAGCAGTCTGTAAACAGAACTGAGTCTACTCCTGATGCACAGAGTGCAGGTCCCATTGAGCCAAATGAGGATCTGACAGACACTCAACAGGAACCATCCAAACCTGAAGTCAAAGAACCTAGTTCAGACCCTCCTAAAAAGTGGACATGGAGTTCACATGATCCCAACCAGCAAGTAGAAGAGTCCAAGGCACCCACCCCACCTATTCAGAACCAGAATACAGTAGCCCCTGCAACAGGAAATCAGGATTTGAATTCACCAGATGACCAGTTGACTGCTTCAGATAGCACCCAGGGCCTACCTGGACTGGAAAGCAGAGGAAAAGGGCCATTCATGCATGAAGATAGAGGAAAGGGACCAGGAAGCAGAGGAAGGGGCCGTGGCAGAGGGCAGGGGGATGGCCGCGGCTGGGGAATGGGCCGTGGCAGGGGAATGGGAAGGATGGATGGTGGCCGGGGAATGGGAAGGATGGACGGTGGGTGGGGAATGGGCAGGATGGATGATGGCCATGGCCGGGGAATGGGCAGGATGGATGATGGCCGTGGTAGAGGATATGTATACAGAGGCAGAGGGCAGGCTAGGCAGGCATCCATCCGTGGCAGGGGAGTGTTCAATAGAGCAGGCAGCAGGGAGAGGATGCCAGATAGACGGTCAGGCAGCAGGGAGAGGATGCCAGATGGACAGTCAGGCAACCGAGAGAGGGGGCTGGGTGGACGGTCAGATAGCCATGAGAGGGTATTCTCTAACCGAGACAGAGAGCCCCCTGGACGGGCAGGCAGCTGGGACAGGGGACGGGCAGGAAGCCGGGAGAGAGGCCCAGTCAGACGGGGCTGTAGCCGGGAAAGAGAGCCCATGCGAGGGACAGGGAGCCGAGAGAGGGAGCCCATGCGACGGGCAGGTAGCCGGGAGAGGGTCCCCGTCAGGCGGGCCGGTAGCCGGGAGAGGGTTCCCGTCAGGCGGGCAGGTAGCCGTGAGAGGGACCTGGTCAGGCGGGCGGGTAGCCGGGAGAGGTGTCCCATCAGAAGAGGAGATAGCCATGAGAGGGAAGCAGGAAGATCTGAAACAGGCAATATGGGTAAACCCATTCACCTAGGAGATGACCCTGACAAATTGCCTCCATACCATCGAGATGAAACATTCAGAAGTTCTTGGGGTCATGAAGATGATACAATGCAGGAGGAATTTCCTTTAGATAGTCACGATGACCCATCTTTGGAGCATGAGCAATTGGACGAATGGGAAAGAGAACAATACTGGAGAGATCACAATTCTGATTATCAGGATGATTCTGTACATGCATATGACAGAGATGACAGGTTGCAATCCCACCATTCACTGCCTCCATTGTCTCCCTTACCACCACTACCTCCTTTATCATCTGATCATGACAGGCGAGATTCGTGGTGGGATGACTGGAAAAGGCCAAGAGAAAGGGAACTAGAGAGAGATCTAGATAGAACTGGAAGATCCTCTGATATTTATGATCAAGGTTTAGACAAAGAATGGGATAGAGACTGGGACATGAGACCTATGGATGACAGAGAAATGGGGAATCGTGACCTGGATATCCCCCCTCTACCACCATTACCATCCCTTCCACCTCTGGACAGGTATCGTGAAGATAGGTGGAGGGATGATAGAAACAGAGATCATTATGACAGAGATCTCAGAGACAGGGGGGAACTTAGGATTCGAGAATATCCGGAGAGATATGACACATGGCGGGAGAAGCAAGACTACCTTCCTGAAAGGACTGACTGGGAGAGGGAACGGTTGTCGGATAGGTGGTATCCAGATGATGGAGAGAGACTGCGGTCTTTGGATGACCACTCAGATCCATCCCTTCCTCCCCCCTCACATTCGTCCGATATGCTGGGAGCAGATTCAAACCTGGACTCCGACCAATCCTTGGGAGGAGTGATGGTCCTAAGCCAAAGACAGCATGAGATAATTCTGAAGGCTGCCCAGGAGCTCAAAATGCTTCGGTGAGTTGCCTGGTTCTGTGATTTTGAATAGGAATCTCATTCTATGGGATCCATTTGAATCAACATGGTAATGGATTCATTTCTTTTGCCCACACCGTGATAGTAGGAGCTCATGTGGAACAAGTTATTTGGAGTACCTTTACCACAGTTTTTGTAGGTGGACTTTTTTTTCTTAAATAGATGATTGTCCCTTTCCCCGTGAATATGCTATTCCCTGTATGTTACTTTCCAGGAAGAGATCTGTCCCATCATCTGACCAATCTATTTGTTATCCTCAAATAAACTTGTGGATAATTGTTTTTCAGTATTTTTGGTGGTGTCAGATGAGCTTAGTGATAATTGTTTTTTAGTACTTACCCCTCAAGACCTACATTAATGTGCTTTTTAAAACCTATTGTTTTGATATTGCTCACTTTTAAGTTAAAGCATGAGTGGGTTTTTGTTCGTTTGTTTGGTTTTTTTACAGAGCTTCCTCATTTGAAACCAAATATTGTCAGTGAACAATTTTGTCAAATTTGGTTTGATCTTAAGTTGTGGGAATCAGCATAAAAGGCTATAACAATTAGGAGTATATGAATGCAAGAGTTCATCAAGACCGCATTTTTAGAAAATAGCTGCTAGACTTCCTAAGGCTTTAGTAAGTGTTTATTATGAAATTAATGATAGGAGAGATGAGGCTTTCAACAACCTAATCTAATGAAAGGAAGGCTGGAACTAGATGATTTTTGAGGTCCCTTCCAACCCAATCCGTTTCATGATAGAGATGTTTTGCACTTTTCCTCAGGCTGTTTTGTTTTCAGATACGTAAGATTGCTGAGCACCTGTCCCATATGGAAGGTCTTAGTTGTATGCCAAAATGCAAGAAAATTAATTTTTTTTAAGGGAGAATTTTTATTCTGAATAATTTAATAATTTACTGCAATTAGATTAGTTCAATGGTGTTATTAACTGTGAAATCTGTGTTCTAAAGTAGTATCTGCTAAAAGTTTGGAGTAACATTATTTTCAGCTTCCTGACTTTCCCACTGCCTCTGTTGCCCAGCATATGTTTTCCTGTTTATTGTGACTAGCTGCAAGCCAGTCACATGGGCTAAGGACCATAGTTTGGGAATCACTATGACAGAAATTTACTAGGTCTTGCTTAAATAATTTAAATATAGTCACTAAATGTTTTATGTAAAAAGTAGTTACATATACATCTTTCAAAGCTGGTAAAAAGGGGAAATATAAACATGATACTGATTTTTAATAGAATATGAGGGTAATCTTCAAATTAGTTATATTGGTACTTCTCATTAGTTCTTACAGGGAGATAATTTAAATCTGACAAGTAGTAACAACTTTATGGAGAGTACTTATTAATTTTTATGGGGATTTTTTGAGCCAAGAGTTATACCAGTAGTGTGGTACATAACTGCTTTCATCTCCCAAAACTAAAGCCTTCATCTGGCTTTGCTTTTATTGTTTGTAAAACAGCATGGTCTCAGCTGCAGACTGTTCTGTATTTGTGATCTAGTGTAGTGCTCAGTTTACTCTTTGTATTTACAAAACGCTGAGGATTCTTTTCTTTGAGCCAAGTTCCCCTTCTGCTGAACACTGAATAGATGCATTATTGGTTACATTGGTTTCTATTTTGTCTTGTTACAGAGGGATCCCATTCTTAGTTGTCATTTAGAAACTGCTTCAATACACAGTTATTATTCAATATAGAGTTATTAATAATTTTAAAACCTAGATTTAAAAATGCTAACAAAAACTGAAGGAAAAGGAGATCATATTCACTAGAACTTTGTAATCCAGTGATTGTAATACTCACAGCTGAACCTGGTCTCTGCTCTGTAGACTATGTATTGGTTGTATATTAAATAGCATTTTGATATAGCAAATAGCATTTTGGTAGCATTTAAACCAAAGAAGCAAAAGTTACTCTCACTGTTTGGTTTTTTATATATTGGAATCTCTTGTGCTTTGTTGGCCTCAATCCTGTTACTATGTGAACCAAAGTAACTGAGCGCACTTAGGTATGCATTTCCAAGGGTTTCTTTCTTGCAGAAGGTGTTGACAGAAGCTAAAAATCCAGCTTTTCTCTTTATTGTTCAAATAGAGTGGTTCTGGCAAAGCACAAAAGCATAACTACATGTCTCAGGAAACTTGTGATCAAAAAGCATGCAGCTAATGCACTAAATGCCTCCATGGCTAGGTGGATGTGAAACAGGGATTTCTGAATCACAGCATTGCCCATGTAAAACCTCCTGTGCTTTTCTTCTTTGTGCTTTGTCCCTGATGGTAGTGTAACATGTGTTCTCACCATGAGCATTGATTTCTTTAATTTTTCATTTAAGCTAGAGACTTACAACACTTTCTTATGATGCATGTGCAGGGAGCAAAAAGAACAGCTACAGAAGTTGAAGGAGTTCAAACCTGACATTTCCACCCAGGACTCTCCAAGATTACAAAACACAAGCACAAGGCCAGGTGCCTTTCAGGTAAATTTATCTTACACTGATAAATGTTGGTAGTAATTACTGTTTATGTATGTTGAACCGGTTCTACACACTGATGGCCAAATTTCTCTGTGAATGCCTCCCCAGCAATCCTTACAACCTTAGCTATCTTCTGTTGAGTCAAAACAACTTCTTAGTTTCTTTAAATTTTCCAAAGCATTTTCTACTCAGTCTGTTGCAGAAGACCTCTCGTTAGGGGTGGAAATGAGCCAAGACGCAGACTCTCATTTGACAATGTGAAAAGGATCCCAGTTTATTCTTCTTTACAGGTTAACTATCCTGACTCTGACTACAGCAGACTCCTGCTGTTGGTTTCTCTGACAGACTCTGACTGCTGGCTATTTCCTGCTGGAATTCGACTGCAAGTATTTCCTTGCTGCCTCTGATCACAGGCTTTTACCTAGCTCAGCTATGACTGCAGGCTCCAGCAGCAGGCTCCAGCTCTATCAGACCCAGACTGACCTCACAGCAGATCTTTTGCAGCAGCAACTCTCTTCCTTGTTTCGTTCTTGTATGTGTCTCTCTGAATCATTCCTTCTTCCTCAAGGCTCCTCTACTTCCTCAAGGTCCTTTTCCTCAAGGCTCTTCCTAACTGGCCAGCCCATCCCTTTTATCACACTTATCTTTCTTATCAGAGCCCATTAAGGGCAAGGCTGTTCTTCTTTGGTAATTAGTACAACTGTGATTTATCAGTGGCAAGGTCATTTGTAATCCTTTCTTCTACACCTACAAGTCCACCATGTCTTCCGAGTATGACCCATCAGGGATGGTTGCACATGAGGTTCAACAGTCTAGATTGCTGTGCAATCTAGACTGTTGTGCAGAAAGAGGTGAGCTCTCCCAAAACAGGGATGTAAGGTTCACAAGAAGACCCCGTTTTTCCTTGCTTAAGTTCTTTCAATATGCACTGCTTTTCCTACTTCAGGAGCTATCTCCTCTTTGAAGTTGGAAAAACTTGAGGCTATTTCCATCAGAAATTGAGATATTTCAACGTAGCATGGCCACTAGCCTTCTGTTTGCTGTTTGTATTGGGAATTTTTATTACCTTCTAGAATATCATGAAATCCATGGAAACTCATGTTTGCGTACCTCTGTCCTGTTGTGGTGCAACTACTCCTCTACCGCCTAATTTCCTGGGCAGTTCTGGAAACAGTTCTCATATGCTTGTATTTGGGTTTTTGATAATTCAGAAATCAACTGATCTTCTACAGTCATGCCAACTCAGGTTTATAAATCCTTCCTAGAATGAGTAAACAGTTTTCTTAAATGTGTATTGGAGAAGATACCTGAGTTGGTGCACCATCTTTGTTCTTCATCACATCTTAACCCCAAAGTAACTCACACCAATAAATTTAGCCATAAGGTCTTCTGGGTCTGACATTTAGCCGGACTAGCCTTTTTAGTCCCTCTGTCCAGAGAAGTGTTATGCAGTGAATGAGGCACTGCAAGTTTTCTTTTTGCCTACGTGACCTCTTCCTTGTTTACAGTGTCTGTAAAGTAAAATAATGGAACTGGTTTGCTACCAAGAACTGCAGGTATGTTGATGCCTTTAGGAAGCTACTTTATTTTGATATTTTGTAACTCAAACTACTTCACTCATCTGCCTGGAGGTTTTCAAACAACTTTTGTCTTTCTTGGAATTCCTGCCTCAAGATATTTCTGCTGTGACTTTGAGATGTTATTACAGAGCTCAGCTTTGGATCTACAACTGTCCTGCAATTTTTGTTGTATGTTGCTAATAAGGCTGCCTGTAACTTGACATCTGCTCTGATGCTGAAAAGTCTTGGAACGTGTGGAGTTTCTTGTGGATGTTTGGTTCATGAAGGATTTGGTTTGGTTTCGTTTTCAACTAGGCAAGACCTTCCGATTTCATATGTTTTCTGATATTGATTTTATTAAAGTTTTTCCAGATATTTCTGCTCTCTGAATTTTTCCATTGGTTTCCACAAAGAAACTGGCCTTATCAATCCTTTTGCATCTCACCAAGCTGTCCTACTTTCAGATTTTCAGCCTTCACATAGACAGCAGGAATCTTTGCAGACAGCAGGAGTCTTTGGGAGTAAACAGTAGACACTTTTGAACTGAGATAGGCCTACTGGAGCTAAAATTGGTAAGGTTATTTTGAAGAAAATCAGTAGTTTAAGCCTTCACATAGTGAGAAAATGCAAAATTAAATCAGGCCACCAATTTTTAAAAAATAGTCCTCCTACCTGTAGCACCTTGATGGAGGTACTAGAAAATGTGCATGAGTTGACTACCAATTGCCATTGCACGTACTGAGGATGAGAGAAGATTAGTTTACAGATCTACATTAAAAGTGCTTTCTGCATCTAGGTCTCTTCTCAGCTATCTTCAGAGGCACCAGTAGAAGCCCAAGCTATTAAACCTTCTCCTGCTGTTATTATAAAGCCTCCCGTGTTGTTCAGACAGCCCACCCCTGTGACAAGACCAAGTGCCCCACTGGCAAGGCCTACTACACCTATGACAAGGCCACACGCTCCAGTTTCTACTCCAACTACAACCCCAAGTCATGGTCAATCTTTAAAACCATCACCTTCTACTGTGGAACAGGAACGCTGGGATGAGGACTCTTTCCATGGACTGTGGGACACAAATGAGGATAAAGGTGCAAATATGGAGTACGAGTTGTGTAAGCAGGAGTCGATGATGCCTCCACCTGTCTCTTCGCCTGTGAAAGTACCTGCCGTCCACACCTCCATTCCATCAGCTGTACCAGTGTCCCTTTCTCCAGTTATTCCTGCAGTTCCTAAGGCACCCATCATTCAGCAGACGGTGGATTATGGCCACGGGAGAGGTGGGCATTGCAGTGTATTTGATATGTATCAAAGAGCTAATTAGTCCTCCTGACATTTTTTTTTTAAAGGAGTGTGCCATGCAAAGTATGTGTGTTCTGCAGTTGATGTGCAGACTTGTGTGCATTAATGATGTAATGCTGAGCACTGCAGTTATAAGGAGTTTCAAACCTTTAACCAGTTATGACTCTGAGTTTAGTATTTTTCTTGATGCTTTTAGAAAGAACTATTTCATGTTGGTGAACAGTGTATGTTCCATGACTACTATTCCATTATTGGTATATAGCCATGGGTGCTTCTAATGAATACAAAATTATGTGCTGTATTTAGGTTGATGCTATTACTTTCTCTTAATCCCTTTGTAGGTGAGTGTGGAAATAACTGGGCTAGAAGGTACTTCAGATGGTTACAGTTCTTAGGTGTGACTTAGTGATTTAAAACAGAATGTGGCTGGTGTTTACATTATCTATATACTGCACAATGGGTGAGAGGTACCCTCTAGCCAGAGAGGGAGACAGTCTGGTTCTAAGGGCATACACCCTATACAGTTGTTTAACGCGTAAGTTGTGGAGGGTTCTGATTTTTCTACTGGGCTTACCAAAGCTAAAATTCAACACTAGTTTTTAAATAGAATTGATCTTCCTCATTTAACATGAGTGAAATCATGTCATAAATGAGTTCTTAAATTGTGCATTGTCATTTAAAGACTGTTTTTTCCCTTTCTAAAGTACCACAACAGGACTGGAAGCCATATCTGTTCTGTTAAGTAAATGTTTTACTAAAAGCTGTTAGAAAAAATGTCATTGTTGTGAGACTTTGTTGCTATTCTTGACATTACAGTAACTCTGTAAGTTATTGAAACTTACTGAGCATTTTAATGTTTATAATTTTCTGACACTGCATGCTCCCTGAACTGACCTGAAAAGGCAGAAGCCCTATTTCTAAGATGGAGTGATTTACTAACACACACATACAAACCCACTTCAGCCTTTAAAAACCATGAAGCTGTTTATTAAAGCTGGTTTTGCATTATCCATTAAAAGAAATTATGGTAGTTTGTAGTCACTTTTAATGCCATTGACTGGTCACTTTTCATGAAGAGGAAAGAAAATGCAAGACATGTGTTTTAAAACATTAATTTATTTTTGTTGATTTTCAACCAGATATAACCACCAGTAAAGTGGAACAGATTCCATATGGGGAGAGGGTAACCCTTCGTCCAGAACCTCTGCCAGACAGGCAAACATTTCAAAAAGGTATGAGGTGCTTGGCTAGCTTTCAAACATTAGTTAGCTCTTAAAAAAAGCTGTAAGACACTAAAAGCTTGTTCAAACTAAGTAACTCTTGTTTAAGCTGCAACCACTTTATTCTCTTCAGAGGTCCATAAGAATAACAGTTTATATTTTTAAGAGGAGTATTGCAGTCAATAACCTAGCCACTTTAAAAATTCAGTTTTGTGGCTTTGTGTAGAACTGCATGGTATGGTTCTCTGTTACAGTTTGGAAAAAAGTGTCTGATTAGGTGCATCCTAGCTCACGTGTCATAAACTTTTATTGCACTCTTGCCTATTGCCTTCTTTTTCCAAAATAGTAGTTTGGATTTTTATGGGTTTCTCCCTTCAGAGCATCCAGGTCGCTACAACAGAGAAAGAGATCGTGAGCCTTATTTTGAGCGTCAAGGTAATTCCAACACAGATCATCGGGATTTCAAGAGAGAGCGGGAATTGCACAGAGACCGAGGTTCTGTGGACTACGAACGAGAGAGATTTGAAAAAGAGCGGCATCCCCGAGATGATAGGTACGATTTTGGAACACTGTGGAAATCAATACAGTTGAGGCTGTATTGTGTATCAGGCTATCCATTTTGCCTGTAAGGTACATGTTCCTTTCACTCCGGAATTCACAGTGGAAATTCACAAAAATACACAAAATACTTTTTTGGCAGGGTTCTTCCTACTACACCTTCAAGAACTCAATCTTACCGTGACAAGAAAGACCATCCATCCTCCAGGCGAGGTGGTTTTGAAAGACCACCATATGAACGAAAGACAGATCGTCCAGCATATGATCATGGGCCTTCTATGTTTGGAGGTACAGTTTCTCTATCTTAAAGTCATGCTAGAATATTATGAAAAATAATGGACTTGCAGAGGTGAAGATTAATTGGTAGAAGATTTATTTGCAGTATTTGTTTGTTTAGAACATATAACTCAGGAAAATCTTTTTAGGTGGTGGCATTTAGTTTTGTTTCTCAGTGGTGTTGAGATTGTAAATTAAACAGTTATAGACTCTGCTAAAAACTGTCTTTCATTACAATAGGTTTTAAAATTAGAAATGTTAGTTATTTTGAGGACATATCTGTGAATTTAACTTAAAATAACGAAGGTCCATTTAAATCAGCTCAGAACATCTTAATTTTTTTATTTTACTGAACTAAGAAAATTCTTCTGTCCAAACACTGGAATTTGAAGGTGATCGTAGAAATTACCCTGAGGAAAGGATTCCTATTTCTGCTCCAACAATGCCTCGTCAGCCACCACCTGCTCCACGAGTAGAAAAGAAGCCAGAATCTAAAAATGTAGATGATATTTTAAAGCCACCAGGACGGGATAGCAGGCCAGAGAGGGTGAGTATATATTCTGAAAGCAACATGGTCTGTATTTGGATAAAATGCTGGTGGATGTAATAGGTTGGAAACAAGTGTACATTTGAGGAAGCTCTGGAAATGAGCTTGGTTCCTTTGTAAATGCCTGGAGTGTTATAGCATAGCTATTAGGAGTCCACAGGAGTGGTAAACTTCATTGGAATGCTCAAAGCAAATTAGTGTGTAATATTAAGGTGTTTTGGCCTCTTCTGAGGTCTTCACTTTGGTTTTTGATGTATCAGGGAAAAGACTTGTCTTTACACAGAGATTTGGCAATGCAGCATATGATATAAAAAAGAACACAATTTAGGGTATAAAACATTTAAGTACTTTTCATTCAGTTGAGTGAAAGAAGTTAATGAAACTGAACCAGATCTATAACGTGCAGCCTAAACTGAGATGATTAACATCAAAAACTCTGAATTACGTGGAACTGCTACCATTTCTCACAGCCTTGGTTTCTAAAACAGTCAGTCAGTGCTTGGTGATATGCAAAAGTGTGAGCTCACAGCACATAATTCTCCAGAAGAAAATATTTGCAAAAGAGAGTCTGTTAAATGTAGTACAGTATCATATCTTCTTACATGATCGTTGTTTCAGATTGTGATCATCATGAGAGGGTTACCTGGCAGTGGAAAGACACATGTAGCAAAACTCATCAGGGTATGTAAACAGGCACTCGCTGTGTAGTGCTGCTTGTCTTTTACATGTTTCCACTACTGTTTGCTTTCTGTTTCCATGGAATTCAAGTCTGTTATTTCATGTTCCATGTCTTCATGTGCTGTGTGAATCTCCACCAGTATTAGCAAGCAGGAGGGATATTACTCTCTTCTTGGTTTTACTATTGAGCAGGGAACTTCTGTTGACCAAAAGTATTTTGAAGATTCTGTGTAGCAGAAGGGAATTTTTACAGCAAAGGTATATACTTTCTTTTTGCTTTCTTCCCAGGATAAGGAAGTAGAATGTGGAGGACCTGCACCAAGAGTGCTCAGCCTGGATGACTACTTTATTACTGAAGTGGAGAAAGAGGAGAGAGACCCAGATACAGGGAAAAAAGTTAAAAAGAAGGTAGTCTTAATTCTGTTGCTTTTCTTGACAAAGAAACAAGACATTCTGGAAAAACAGTGGCAATCAGAATTCCAGTCTGTGAGCTGGGAAGAGTGCAGGGGTCTCTGAGCTGTTTTTCAAAACAAGCCAATATAACTTAGGGTTATATTAGGGTAGTATGAGCAAATTCTTAAAACTGACCCTAATGGAATTTTTCTCACACCAGTGTACTTTGTGGTCATGCCATTCAGGTGTTGAATATTAGCCATTTTATAGATGTCCTCTTTCTTAATGCTTTTGTCCTTGGTAAAGGTGATGGAGTACGAATACGAGGCTGATATGGAGGAGACCTATCGTACCAGCATGTTTAAAACTTTCAAAAAGACCTTGGATGACGGCTTCTTTCCCTTCATTATCCTTGATGCTATCAATGATAGAGTGCGACATTTTGAACAGTTTTGGAGTGCTGCAAAAACAAAGGGGTTTGAGGTAATGGAGCCTAAGTAGTATTTGAACTTGCTGACAGCCATATGCTGATGTTTCTAAACTTTTGAATGGAAAGTCTCCCACATTAAGGAAAAATGCTGTGGTTTACAGTTACAAATTTACCTTTCCTAAAGTGTACAACTGCAGAGTGTATCACAAGGTAGAAAAAGAGCTCTAATGATTGGTTTCCAATATTTAACACTGTCTTTTTCTTTCTAGGTCTACTTAGCTGAAATGAGTGCAGATAACCAGACATGTTCCAAGAGGAATATTCATGGGCGCAAGCTCAAGGATATCAGCAGGGTAACTATATACATCTGGAGTCATATTGTGCTTTTGGGCCCTCTGTTGTTTGAAAACTATAGACTACATAATGCTTACAATTTTCCTCTAAGAAATAATGGTAGTTATTTCATGGGATTCTGATTAAATTAAAATTATTGAAGTACAGATACATCCTGTTAGCAATCAGAAACCAAATTTTCCAATGAATCTGTTAGATTTTTAGAGGTGCTTCATTTTTGTGTGTGTTTTGTTAGATGTCTGATCACTGGGAGGCAGCACCACGCCATATGATGCGCCTGGATATTCGTTCTCTGTTGCAAGATGCTGCTATTGAAGAGGTGAGAATCTCTGTGCTTGTTGAAAATGCAGATTAGGTCAATGTGACTATACTGAAAATATGATGCAGACAAAGATGTGGTCGCAGCAAGGCACTTTAGAAAGCCAGAATTGCTGTGTCAGGAAAATGTATCTTGTCATTCTTATGAATTACCCCAAATATGAATGTACATGTTTTACCTGTTATCACCTTTTTGAAGCTCAGACTTAAGTGTCTTTGAGCAGGAGTTGAAGTCACTTTGCTCTTAGCAACTGTTGAATACCAATTAAGGAGCTTAAAGAGGATCTTTGCACTCTTAAATGAAACTCAGCACTTTTTACAGGTTACTGAATTATTTAGATCATATTTTGATAAAGCAGCTGGAGAAAGTAAGATAAGGAAATGAATTTTAGCTCAGTCCTTGTTTTGAGAAATACGTTTAGCAGAGAATGAATAAAGAAATAACATTTAGCAGAAGGTTGTAATTGCCTTTTCACTTCATTTGCATTTTGCCATGACATGGATCTTTGGTGTGTGAGCTTACTGTATTGTTGCATTCTTCTTTGGCAGTTGTGTCAGGAATTCTGGGCATAAATTAGTGTGTTAGTTGTGTGGTCTTTGTGAATAAACCATAGCTTGCTGCTGTCAGAACAGCTCTTGACACAGCCATAGAAACTGATGAACTGCTGAAGTAGACAGAGAGTCTTTGCAGTTTGTCGTGATGTTAGGAGGTTATTATTGCATCTCCAAATTCTTTGTACTGGAAAATAGTAATCTTTAAGAGGGCAATAAAAGATTGCACTCTAAAGTAGACTCAGAGAATGGCAGATTGGGATTTACAAGGTTTTGCAAATTATGTAAAGAACTGTACAGACTTGGAGAGTTTTATGTATTCCAGAGTATATGCATGGGTCCCCAGTACAGCTGTGGAGCCCTTAAAGTATTGCATTAGATGAGCAGAGTTAGATGTTGTGTCTTCATTCTTCTATTTTGTTATGCTGAACTCTGTGGTTACAATTACTCTTTAATATGATTTAAAAATACAGAAAAGATAAAGGCTCAGTAGAGATGTTCTATGCAGAGACAGCCGTTCCACCGTTCCAGGTATATATAAATGGCAAGTTTAAGAACTTTTTCTGAGATTGCAAGTTTTGAAATATGATTGTGTGGAAAGCAAGAGAAGTATCTTGCTGTTACATATAGTGGTAACACAAGGAATGCGTGTGAAGGAAGGGAATGAACAATTTTTGCTTTTCCCCAGAAAATCTTTGTAAAGAATATTCTTTATCATTCTGTTGCTAGAAGAGAACATGCTTCTTAGGAAAGCCAGAGTGGACACAGGATTCAGATGTATTTCATCATCATACTTTCAAAGATTAATTCTTTCTTTTCTATTTGAATTTGAACACCTCTGCTTACTCTGTTAAAAAGAAAATAATTAAAATCCAGATAGTGCCTTGTAAGTCTGTGCATGTGCTTTGGAACAGGTGGAGATGGAGGATTTTGATGCAAATATTGAAGACCAGAAAGAAGAAGTCAAGAAGGACACAGCAGAGGAAGAAGAAAGTGAACTGGTAGGAGACACATCAGCCATCCCTAACAAATTGTTCATTCATGTGTCTGAGAGAGAGTCTCAGTCTTACAAATGCCAACCCATTGGCATTCTTAGCAGTGTGATCTTAACACACATGTTTCTAGTAGTTTTTTACTTAAACCTTTCTAGGAGAACTTTAATGATAAATCATATTATTTCTTCCTAGTTTATTTCTAGAATACGTGAGTATGTGCTACAAACAGTATTGTCAGTAGAGCATGGTAACATGCCTCATAGAGACATTTTAAATTGCAGTACATAATAGTGCTGTCTTCCAGATAATCTAAGAATTACACAGAGTGGAGGGATGGGAACAATGGGAAAAGATTAATTTAACATTTTTCCTTTCACGTGTCTAAAGAACTCTCCTCAGCTGTCACAGTATATGATAACAGTTGTGAAATCTGCTTTTTCTGCCACGTTTGACTGACTTTGTCAGGTGGTATTTCCAAGGTGAGGCATTAGGTCTCTTGGATAAATAAAGGTTACAGAATTGCCCTGAGGGCTGGCTTTTTTAGGTATGTATTTGAAAGGCTACAAAAGGCTTCCTGCTGTAACTTCTTGGTATGTGTTGGAGCTGCAACTGGTCCGTGCTTGATGAGTTGAATGTCTCAAATCTTGGTGCCCACAACCAAGCAGTTAAAGTTCAATAAACAGGAAGTAACCAAAAATGTCTGAGTTGAGCAAAGTGTTTTTCCTTGATGGAAATTTACTATTCTTCAGGAGTGGCAGGTCAGAAAGCAGTTGAAATCAGAATTTTAAAAAGCTTAGGAAAAGTGGATTCTAATAAACGTCTGGTTTTTTCAACATGCCTCATTTATTCTCAGTACTAAATTATTCTTTGGCACAGAATATGAGACTGCATAAAGTGTGGTTAGAACATTTCAAAGATGCATCCATGTTTACAAGATGGGCTGCTAGTCCCATTTCCATGAGCTATAGTTAAAAGAGAAAGTTGTCTTTAGCTTTTGAGACATCTGTGCATAAATCTGTGTGTGAATGTGTGTGTTTATGGGTTCCGCGGAGTGTTCTAATGTACAGCACTTATAACAACAGGCCTTTTCTTTGAGACAAAGGGAAAGCAAAAAGCAATCTGCATATTAGAATGTGTTCTATTCAGATTCACAAGATATGAAAAAGAGCATTATCTGCTGTGTGTAATCTCTGGAATTCAGTCAGATGGCTAATCTCAGAGAATTATGTTAGTCAGAAAGTGGAACAGGACACTGTATTTGGTATCTCTTGCCCTTTTGAGAGCATTTGATAAGGATTCTGCAATTGGTTTTGCTGCATTTAATCCTGTGAGAAAAGGGAGGTCTGAAGCTCCCGCCATCTGGCAGATACCTTTGAATTTCCAACTGTCTTATACCAAAGGATAAAGTCTGAATCTTTGCTTATCCTATTTGAGGACCAGATATTGTTTAGATTCAGCACATAATAGGACATTTCACACCATCAAAGTCACTCTTCTTGCTATTATTAACTCTCATTGTTTGCAGCATTCAGACAATTCCTGCTTTTCTGTGCTTGATGGTATGAATTATTGATACATTTAACTTAGTGCTCTCGCCACTGTATCCCACATCACTTTGTTTAATGCAGGCTTTTAGCTGTGGTGTAAACTTTGAGAAATATTTAAAGTGCAACTTGGTTTAAATGTATAAACATATGTATATACATGAAGTTTATTTGTTATAAGGAAATATTGCAGCACAAACTGTTTTGGTTTGCATTAATTACGGATTTGATTAAAACCAAGAAAATCCAGAGATCTGATAACCTCAAGTCACTGATACATGCTTGATAGAAAAAAGATCATTCAAGGATTTTTTAAGAGCAGTGCTGAATATGATCAAATGCAGTGTGGCTCTCTGGAATTTACTGGAGTACACTAATTTAGTAACACATAGTATTAACAAATACACATATATTTTTACCACAGTGGAAGCAACCTATAAATAAAGCAGGAAAGAAGTTAGTGTAATAAAACTGGTTTGTGGATTGTTTGTTTTCTTCTTTAAATCTTCTAGAGTAGTTCTTTCCCTCTCTATTAAAAAACATTCTAAAAAAAAAATTAAATTGTCTCAGAGGGCTTCCGTTCACTACCTTGAACTTTTCTATGTGGTTGCAGAGGAATATAAGTACTTTTATACCAAAACTGAACAGCTGAAATGAGGATTACTTAGTAACAATTTACTTGTCAAAGAATATAAAAAGAAAATATAACAAGAGGCTAACTAAAATAAATACCGTTTTGCCAAGTTTATTTTCATTATGCTCATTTACATAGAATAAACTGGCTAAAAATCATTACACATGGTGACATTATTTGTAAAGCAAAATTGTTTTATAAGATCATTGTGCTAAGAGTACCATTTTAAAAATGAAAAGTAATACTTAAATCCTTGTGACTCAACAGATACTCTCATTCAAACAAAAAAAAATAGTTTAATTGCGGATTAACCACTCATACATGAATTTAGTATGTCCCTTCAAAAGGTGTAAGTGAAGCTTGTGTGTACTAAATCTGGGAATGTGTTCATAAAAACTTACGGTAACTTTTTTGTGTTTGTAAAGCTTTGAATATTCTTTATGCTTGAAAGTTGTGTTGCAGTGATTTTGCCACCTGGAATAATACAATACAGTAACTGCACACAGTGCCATTGCTGTCTGTCAGACTCATTCTGGAGTTCTGTGTTTGCAGAGGGCAGCACTCTTGTAATGATTTGCAAGGGCTACTGAAATCACTTGAATGGGAAGTGGATGCAGAAGTTCTGAAATACCGAGTAACTGGTCTCCATCTGATAATGCGAATTGTGCCTTACAAAAAGAAATACCTTAAACTCCCATTGTAATGCTATTTCCAGTTCAAAAGTGATATGCATGTGTGTCTCTCTCTAATCCTCCGAGCTTCTTTCTGTGTATGATTTAGGGTTACATTCCGAAAAGCAAATGGGAGATGGACACTTCTGAGGCAAAGCTAGGTGGGTATTTATTTTTTCCTGTTTCTTATAGTTGCTATGTAATGATGTTTGCAAGACTTGAACTTTTGTTTTTATTGTGCCTCCTTACAAAGACAAATAAATGCGTTGATTTCATACGTGTGTCTGAAACTGCAAAAGCGTCTATACAGAACAGGAATTTATCTTCTGCCAGAGGCAGGAGACTATACTACTTTCTTATCATCCCTGTTTTATATACTCATTAATTGTTGTTCCATCTGTTCAAGGAAAGTACTTTGTCTTCAAATTTAAAAAAACAGTATTTATAGTCTTCATCTTTCTGTGTTTATTATTTTTATATAAGCAAAGAGTCAACTCACATCACACTGTACTCTTTTTCATACTGCATACCTTTTTTCCTAAGCGTCATTAGTAACTTTTTGCATTCTTGGAGACATGCCTCATAGCTGAACTGTATTGAAGATGTTTCTCACTTTTCAAAATTTACATCTGTTAGAACAAAGTAGTGGCATGCTTAGAAATTGCTTCTGAATTATTAGGTGTCAGTATATCTTTTCAACATCTTAGGCATTGAAAAGTTTAAAGTTCATTATGCTTTGCAGTTCTAGGAGAGCAATAGAATTCTTCTTAGTAATATGTAAAATGGACTTTCCAAGAGCACAAGGGCATGATTTTTGCTGTACTTTTTTGTTCTCATTAGTGCTGATATTAGGATTCTGTCGAAGTCAAAAGGAACTTTCAGGCAGAAATGCATGCACCATGGCTGTGATGAAAAGATTATTCATGGAAAGGGGTTTCTGATCATTTTGATCCGTTTTGTTGTGGTTTTTTTTAACTGAACAGTAAAAGTTCTAAGCAAAGGTTTTAGCTGGGCAGTCTGCTCAGAACTGCTGTTTTTGTATCAAGTCCATTAGAAGTTACAAATAGCTAAATTGAACACAACTTTTAACATTCTGAAGTTTGCTTCTTCATGTGTGGTACAGCCCTGTGCATAATAACTTTCCAATAACCAAAATCACAACTGCACCATAGAAATAGCATTAGGAGGTCTGGTTTAAATAAAGCAGCCTTTCATCTTTTGCTGTTAAGGGTTTAGCTACACCATCTCTTCTGCTGTGCTCTTTTAAGTCACAGAAATAGTTGTGGATTATATCAATGTTGTGGCACCTGCAGTACAAGCAGAGGCACCTTGTATTCAATGATTTTGGCATACCAAACAGCTAGGCAGTTACACAATTAAGCTAGGATTGGTATGCATTTTTGTTATCAGCAATGATAAATTTAATAATATAAAATTATTTCTGAAGTTCATGCTAAGGACTGTGTTGTGTTTCCTTCCATAATGAAAACTCCATAACCTATAAAGCATTATTTTTATATGGTCTCCACTTAAATGTAAAATGGGGAGCAAGCAGCAGAGTCACTTTTATGCTGAAATTACTTACAAGGCTGTTGAAATAATCCTTTAACAGTCAAAGTTCATTAACAAACTGGATGTTAGCATGCTGCAAGACACAAATCCAGGTGCTGAGAAGGGCTTTCTATTAAATCTGTATTCACAATTTTATTTTTATAACTACCCTCTAGATTCAGTTTCATATATACTTAGGTCTATAGATTAAAGGTAAATTCTGACAGAACTTAGTTTTTTAAAAAGCCAGGTATTCCTATGCAAAGAATGCAGTTTCTCTGGAAAATTACTCTGCCATGGCAGTCAATGTTTAGCTTAAGGTGTACGTTAGAAGTACTTGTAGTCTGTGAGTAAGACTTACTATATTTAGTTCACAATACGACTTCATTGGAGGTGATCAATTATAATTATTTCTGGAAAGGCATGTAAGCTGTAGTGCATTAGCTATTCCAAAACTGAGTTATTTCCTGGGAGCTGGCCTGCCCATTAGGTTTATTGCTTTGGTCCCAGAGGGCACACATTTGCAGAATGACATAAGTGCAGTCTTCAAATATTATGCTCTGAGTGTTGTTTCCCTTTTTTTGTTTTCTTTCTGAATAGAAGTTGTTACAGAAGAGCACAGTAAAGTCTTGCTGATTGTAATAAACCTCAGAAAATCTCTGAAAAGTTTTGAGTTCTGGCTACAAACACTCACTTGTGACAATCACCAAACATATGCCCCAGAGCTCTTGCTTCAGCACAGATTTACTTGTTTCTTACATTCCGTTTGAGTATGTGTGTGATTTATCATTTCCTGATGTGCTGTGCACAGCCACAGTTTCACTCTGAAAGTCTATTCATGTATCTTCTCAGTGCATAGTGCACAAAGATTCTTATGTTGAAATTTAAATAATGGATTCTAGTTTCTAAAATTCGACTGTAGTGTTTAATGCAATGCTCTGTTTCAAGGTGTGGCTTAGTGACAAGTTCTACAGACTTTCAGGAATGGAGAAATGAGCTCTGGTGTACCTGAAACTTTGATACTATTGTAAAATTTGCTCTTGAATACAAATGGGATTCTACATAAAACTCTGTGGCTTTTGTATAAGAAGGGCAAAATTTAACAGATTGATTTATTTAGGTTTTGAAGGAGCTAATTAAATTAGTTGCTTCCAGATATTACTTTAAAAATTCTAAAGGTGAGTTTTAAGTTTTGTGGGTTTTCAGAAATGCTCCTGCTTTGTTGTTTTTTAATATGAAATGATAAAATGATATTCACTAGTTTAACACTAAATAATCATCAGTCATAGGTAATCACAAGCACCAGTGTTACAAAATGACATCTTGAATCACAAGCACCAGTGTTACAAAATGACACCTTGTCTCATTTTCAGAAAAGAATATTCTGAAATAATCCTTTATGGCAGGTTTTTGACATTTGTGTAGTGCCTGCTGCATGACATATGTACCTTGAACTGCAATAGTATGGATGGAAGCAGACCTCTCTGGAAAAGCAATCCAGCTTCAAACATGGAAGGACATAACTTTTTAAAATAAATCCTGTGTAGCAGTAAAAAAGAGGGACAGAGGGGAACTGCGTATTCAGAACAGCTTCTGAGCTCTCTACTGACATTTGAACAGTACACATTTCTTGGTGGTGTTTTCAGTTGTTTGGTGCACAGCAGGGAGTGTGGGACTTGACTTGCTTTCACACCGGTAATGAGGTGAGCTTGCACCAAGGCTTCCTTCCAGCAGGAATATGTCTGTCTACAGGTACTTCCCAACAGAGAGCTCCTCCATTTTCACTTCTTCATGGTCCTAAATACTCCTCAATGAGTTTGTTGATCTCTTTTTCAATGTTATTTTTTTTCTGGAAATGCTTAATGCCACAAATTATCTACACTGATTGAATGTAGCTGGAGTAACAGAGGAATTTTGTATAAATCAATTTTGCCTTCTAGAGGGAGCGTCGCCTTTCTGTGGAGATTGGGCATCAAATTTGGCAGATGCAACTTAGTGCAAAAGAAGAACCTTAACTAAATAATGTAATAGATAAAAATATTCTGAACATTTTTCTTAAATGTTGGCTATTTTAAGAAGCATGGGGATTATAATGTTTTATTAAAAGAAATTCTGTATCTGTTCCAGGGAAATGGAGCAGAGGTGGAGTCTTTAAAAGGTTTTGAGGTATATGAGGGAGAAATAACTTAATTAGTTTATGGACTTTAAATTATACTAGCATGTCTACAGTACCATTCCCTCACATTATCTCCATTGTTACTCTTCTCTCTCCCATATTAAGTAAAAAACTCATCTCTGAACTGAGTTTCTTTAAGTACGTACCTGTTGAACAACATCTTCTGCTATCCAGGAAATAATGCTGCCTTGTATTTGGTCTGTTTCTGAGGCCTTTTGTGGGTGAATTTAATTACAACAGTGACTTCTGAAACGGTATTTCTAACATCACTGGTAATGATTTAACGAATGTAATTCCAAGCTTAGTGTTCCTTCTACACATACTTGAATTGTTGGCTTATGAATTGGTAGTTTACATTGAAAGAAGTAACAGAATTTCCTTTGACTTGTAGAGCCGGATTTCCTTTTCATGCTTTGTTGTTCATAATCTTACTATGAATGTTTCATCTCCTTTCCAAAGACAGTTTGCCACATAATTTCAAGAAGGTTTTGTTTTCTTTACTGAGAATAAGTGTCTAAAGTGGAACAGTATTTTAGAACCTAGGAATGGAATTGTTTCTCCTCATGTATTGGTTCAATAAGAAAAAGAAGAAAATGAGGACTGTTGGACAAATGTACTGCTCAAATAATTATGACTGACCTCTTACACCATGAAAGAAAAGATTCTGAGATATTTTTCTCCCAGTCCTGGAAGACTTTTTAAGTGGTTTGCCGTATGAGGAGAGAAAAAGAAAGGGAAGGATCAGGCTTTCCAAGGAGCGTTTTGTTTAGCAGGAACAGTATCTCAAAAACATGTCTTTGATGCATTAAGATATATAATTGCCACTTGTTGCTGAAACTGCATGTATGCCGAGTTTTACACAGTATCGATCCTCAAATTTGGGAAAAAATGCTACAGCCTTAGTATTGTGTTCAAATACAGAAAGATGGATCTGTGGTTCCTAGCTGTTGTTGGCTATATTGTACCTGTAAGGACAGACTCCATGTAGATCTGGAAGAGCAAACTTTTTCTCCCTCATATAGAAAACAATACTGAGTGTTATTGCCACACAGTTAACATGAAAGATCAATAAAACTTGAAAACTGTGTTGAGTCTTCTTTAGTTTATTTCAACTCTCATCATTACACCTGTCAAGACAAACTGGATGTACAAATTCTGCTGCTCTACTTTTGAAAAAGTTTCCACTCTCGTCTTGTTTGTGTGAATAATAGAAAAAATAATCTCTCTTAACGCTGAGGCTCTGTGTTTGTTCTCAGACAAGCTGGACGGTTTGCGGACTGGCACTAAAAGAAAACGTGACTGGGAAGCAATTGCCAGCAGAATAGAAGATTATCTGCAGCTTCCAGATGACTATGATACACGTGCTTCTGAACCTGGAAAGAAAAGGGTAATAAATTTTCAAATGACTTACTGTCTGTATATAACCCTTTAATGGTCTCTGTGAAGGAGAGTTTATATCAAGTCATTCAATGTCTATGAATATGGGAATTTCATTGACTCCTTTTTAATTTTGCTATTCCGTTAGCTTCTGTAAGAGATTATGCTTGCAAGTAGGTAAACATATTAGTTATAGTTTCCAGAGGTAAACATATTAGTTATAACAGAACTAGGACTTGTAGATAATACAGATTAACTATGCATGACATGGTTTGAATACCAAGGGCTGCATGTTTTAATTCTGCTTTGAAAAAAGGGGGGAAATCATAGAGGGATACAAAAAAGGTAATAGAAAGAGGTAATGCTTTTTTTGTTTTGTTTTGCAAAATAGAAAGAGCAGCTTTTGCCACTAAAAGTAATTTGAATTAACTGTCGGTGTTTGGGTATTCTTTTGCTCTGTAATGTCAAATAGAAAACTGATGGTACTGGACAGTATGTCTGAGAGAAATGGAGGTACTTAAGGCATTGGCAGAGGAGATGGTGGTGGAAGAAAACTGACATTGCTTATCAGTAGAAATGTCAGGGGAAATCCAGGTAGACTATGGACAGGAATGTGCTGGCAGAAAATTGATAAGGCTACATTCCCCAGTAACACATGGGCCTGAATGAGACTAGTCAGTATGCAAAGAAGAACTCTTTCACTTACTATTTTTTCTTGTCCTGCAATGGTGTGTTTCAGCTGAGTTTCTGGAGCTGTTCTTCATTGCATCTCTCCATCTCTCCCTCCCATCGGTGTCTTGTTTTGGGGGTGTCACTGTGTATGTTGAATAGGATAAATTAAAGGGATCTGCATTACCATGAAGAGGTGCAACGCAGATAAAGAAATGTAAAGATGGGGAAATAACATATATATGAGAAAGTTACTTTGTATAAAGAAACAGTGGAAAAATTTAAATATAAATATATTACAAAAGATAGAAAACTATCCTTCATTCATTTATTCATTGCTGACTTACTCCTCAACACTGTCTTTCTGTAGTTTCATAGTCGTCTTCAAGATGTTTCCATTGTGCGGTTGAAAGAAAGATTTCCCAGAAAATTAAAACAGTAAATGAATCTTGGATAATTCTTCCTGCAGAAAGTGTTGCTTTGAACAGAGAAATAATTATAGTAGTTACACTTCAACTCTCAGAACTATAGCACTGAATTTTACCTATCAAAAAAAAATAATACTCACCTGTTCTAAGGAAAATTAGTAGAAATTAGTATTCTTGTATTCTTACTTGCAGTGGAAAGCCTAGATTCATATCAGGGTTTCTTGGAAGATTATTGTACTGATAGGATGTTCTCCATAGGTGCGATGGGCAGATCTAGAAGAAAAAAAAGATGCTGACAGGAAAAGGGCCATCGGTTTTGTTGTTGGACAAACTGACTGGGAGAAGATAACAGATGAAAGTGGTCATCTTGCCGAGAGAGCCCTCAACCGCACCAAGTATATATGAAAAAGTGGTTAAGTGGATTTTTGTGCCTTTAAGGTAAATATTCATCTTCCATTGTTTCATCAATATTTATAGCCTTGATGTTTTTCAAGAGTTGAGGCTACAGTTGACCCCATTGTTAGAGTTCTCCCAGACAAGGTTACTTGATTTGGAGCTTTGTATTATAGGTGTCAGCTGTGCCTGTGTCAACATGCATACTTCTGTACAGCACCTGACAATAAAGGGGGAAGGATTATCAGCTCTCAGACCTCCTAACCTTATTACAAGGAAGCTTGTGGTTCAATTTAGAATAGTTTAGCTGTGTGCCTTCTAGTCCTGTTGAGTTCAGGTGTGGCTTATTATATCTTAATTCTAACCATGTTAATAGCTGTTTTATGTGACCTAACAAACTTTTCCTTTCTTTACAGGCCAATTGCTCTGCAGAGAAGTGAACCAAGGTGTCATGAGCATCTTGCATGGGTCATGTCACTCCACCTTCACAGTTTTTGTTACTTTAGTTTCAGCAATTTTCTTGAGATACTGGCAGATAACCAGTGCCCTCAAAAAATTCATTGAATCCCACTACTCCTAAGTGAGAGAGAAAGTTTACTTTTTAATATTTTTGGAGGGGAGGGAGGGGGAGGGTCAGTAGTTTTAGCTGCTCTTTGTGGGATAAAGTGGAAGGATTAGACAGATGTTACCTCCACTGTACCATCACAGAATGTTTATCACCTTTGCTCTGTGGATGTTCTCGTTTTATACTGTATGTACCTTGTAGCTTATTGTATTAGGAAGCAGAACAATAAATTTCACTATAAACTCGGTGTTCTTGGTGGACCATACAGTATGGTTTTTGTTTGACATTTTAAATGTGGTCTGTGTTCACATGTTAGTGCTCAGAACCATCCTTACCTGGAAGACATACTGTGCTCGTATCTGGAACATGTCCTGTCTATAGATTTTTCACCTGCTCTTCTTCTCATAGATAGATCCATCAAGGCCCCAGGTCTTGCTGACCTTTAGGAGTTCATGTTCCTGGAAAGCAGGAATATCATTATGTTTGGGTTCTAGTTTCTCGGTTATGTCAAATTTTCCTTACTATGTGAGTATGAATTCTGTTGGGTGGTTCTGTAATGTTCAAGGTAGCAGTGTATGAAAAACTTGTCTTTAATGCTCAATATGAAAACAGGTACTACAGAGTTTTCTGAGGGGCAGCCTAGAAAATTGATTTTGGTCTTAATATGTCTTTTAGTCAACACTGATCCCTATCAGGGTATTTAATTCCATTCATAAGTCTATTTAATCATAGAGATACATGATCAAGAGTGACAAAGACCATAAGTTATACCCTTCTTTTCCTTTGATAAGTATGTTAAGCTTGATTTTAAAAAAGACTTACTAATAGTCCACACTATTAAAAGTGGTACAGATTCTTCATAGATACTTGGATATCACTTCTGCAGAGCATTGGGTTTGCTGATGAAAACTTTCTTTTGTCCTCACAGGTTTCAAAGCAAATGCTTTGCATTAACGATGTTGTAACCAGGAAAGAGGTCTAAATCTGAAAATAACTGCTGTTTTAATTAATTTAATTTTTCTCCTGATCTTTCTGAGGAAAGAAAATGAAATCCTGAGTTTTCCTTCTCTGTTGAGTATTACATTGTGCTTTGCATCTAGGTTGTTAAATCAGCTTGTTCGGGTTTGGTGGTAGTTCAGGCTGTTAAAGGAGAGCATGGCTGTAATAGATGGGTTTGTTTGCCATTCTAATGTTTTGGTTTATTGGCTACTTCTCAGCCTTCTCTGTGGTGCATGATTAAAAGTTCTTCAGTAAACAAGGGGAATAGCTGAACTGGTATTATGCCCTGAATATGTTTAATACAAGAAAATTGAGGTCCCTGAATGCAGCATTTTTAAAATAGAAAGTATTAAATGCACATTTTCTGTGTACACTTACTTTACATAGCATATATACTTCTCAAAATGTTGCTCAGTAAGTATTCTTTGGATTGTGACAGAGAATTGTTGACAAAGGGAAACTAATATTTAACAAGAAATGAGTACTGTGTATTGCTGTGGAAATCAAGTGAGCTTTACTTTGGAGAAGTTACTCTCAGGTATGTGTAAAATGGGTTTCAGTCTATACTCAGTTTTTCATAACAAAACTGGACTTCTTGTGGCACACCACGAGTTGATGCTGCTTCTTGAGTCTTAAGAACCGATAGTGATTTTGTCTATATTTTTGGTAATACAACTGTACCAGATCCTTTTCTAACTTTTTTTTTCAGACTAAAGAGTACTTCTGGAGCATTCAAATGGATAGTGTCTGTCAGAAGGTATAATATTGTTTGCTGGTTTTACAATTTTTGAAATTATTTTAGCAGATAATACTGAGAGGTTATGTCATGCTGTTTGTTCTGTGGTGGATGTAGAACTAATGAAAAATGAACAGCAAATATACATAAAATTATGCTTTGATGAGGACAGAAGATATCTCAATCTTGAAGTTTAAAACAAAATTCAGAAAATATACCATTGTAGACTGTGGTCGGACTGTTTAACCAGAAAAAGCTGAAGGGCTTGAGTTTTGTTGTTTTACTGAAGTTCAGAAGTTTTCCCCTTCTTTAGTACAGAAATATCAATATATCCATAATCTTTGCCAATTGTTTCAGTTGGTTTGAATGTTTAGCAGATCACTCTTCAACTTCTTGATGGGAAGTGGCTCCGAAAAGAAATAACTTATGCCAGAACTACAACCTATAGCAGATTCTACATACTTCAGACATTCAGTGACTGAAGAAATCAAACAAAAAGGAAAAATCCATCATTGCTGCTGGCAAATCTGAGAACAGCTAGCTAGTCCCTTGCTTGGCTCCTAACCAGAGGTTGGTGATTAGTGATTTTGCTTTTGTATGGGAAGTCTTTCAGTACAGAGTACCTTGTCTTGATCCTGATATAGCTCTTACTCTTATGCTCGCTGAAATTGTCAGTAGAACTTTCCACAGCACTGAGCAGAACAAATACCAACTTTCATTGATTACTAAATAGGAAGATATGTATCTAGCATCTCATGTAATGATCCATCTTTGACCATGCATGCAATTATGCTAACTCTAAGTTGAGCTGTTTCTGTGCATCACATTGAAAAATTCAGCTCTGAAAAAACATCAGCTGCTACAGAATGGAGTTGCTACCTTCTCAGCAAATTTGACTGTTAAAACAGTATTGTCTGTGAATTATAGTTTCTTATGGCGCTTCAGTTTTTTTCAAATCAGTTTCCTTTTTTTATATAGAAGCGGTCTGTCTCATGAAAGAAGTACATGTGGTTTTTGCAAGGGGATGTGCAACATGCTGTGCTATGTGAATAGAGCACACTTGTCATCTTCAGTCACCTTGTGTTTTAGTGTAGGATTGCTCATTAAGTGTGAAGGTCTGACTATGGTAAGAAAGAGTGAAATAATAGCTGAGAATATTAGGTCAGTTCTAGAAATTTGTTTTTCTGTTTCCTTGAATGTTTACATCAACAAAGATAAATAACTTACCCTGCATTATTAGTTCCCAGTCTTTAGAAGGGAAAAATTGGTATTGGTACAACTTAGTTTTACTTTTCACACATCAAGCTGGGTTTGGCATTTTTTAGACTTTGCTTCAGTCATCTTTGTTAACCCTGTCCATTAGTTTTTCATTGCCTGTCTGTCAATACACAGAATACATCACTGCTTTTATCTTTATAAGGCATTGTTTTAACTATTTTCAAAAGCCTTTTACTCTCTGAGCAACTATTTAGGCAACTATAGAGATACTGAGAGGATTTCAGTAGAATCTTTTCGGAAAGGATTGAACTGGAAAAGTAGAGTTGTGACATTACACCGAAACATATATTAACCTATCCCCAAAACACCCACATCTAATGCAGTTGAATGGTTAAAAATTATCATAGAACTGTAAATTGCAAGTCACTGTCAACTTGCAAGAATCCAAGTTGCATTCTTTTGCAGGAATCATACTTCTACATACTGCAGAATAGTCTGTAGGTAGTGTGCTTTTAAAAAGAAGAACATGACCTCACCAACCAAAATCAGTTTTTCGCAATTTGAGATTTCAACATCATCAGAACACTATGAGAATCCTTTTGAAAACGAATCAAGTAATTCTGCCTGTGGGACACCTTGCTGTCATCTAAACAAATTTATTGTTACCAGAAGAAAAAAAACTTTGTTCCTTTCTATAAATGCAGCTGTCATGGTGAATCATTTTTTGTGCCCTTAGGACACAGTTTCCCTTAGCAGACTATGCCATCTTATTATTCATGTTGCTGCCACCCACACAGTACTGAACAGACCTTGGGATTTGAAGAAACATGGTTGAGCTGGGTTTGGAAGCAAGATGTGCTTTTTTGCTATGAAGTTCATGCTGTCTCTGGCAGCATGGAGCTAGGTAACTGTGAGCTGACTGAACTGAAGGCCTGGAACTTTCCTGGGAGTACTGTAATTCAGCATTCAAGGACTGGAAAGGAGAAGCAGTACAGCGTTTTCTGTGCTCATGGAATGTTCACATGGCATGCATCCTCAGGAAGCTAAATAATGATGGATACATAGTTCCTTTCTGTTATGTCTCTTTTTAATGTTTAATGTTTCCCAGATTACCTCTGGAAAACGAGTTCTAAATTCTGAACTTGGGTCCACTGACAATTTAGGATCAAACTGCAGCAGGACAGCTTGCATACTATGAAGTAAAATATTTGAGGAGCAGAGGTGGCCATCTCAGTTGAGATCTGTACACTTGGAGCATCAGCTGTTCTTAAACTGTGGTTAAACTTAGTTTTCTTGTCATAGTAGAAATGAGAAGAGAAAGAACGAAAGTTTCGTAGAATTTAAAATATGAATGGCATTTTTCTGGTTTTGAGTCTCTAGAGCAATCATCTTTATTCTCTCATAAAACTTGAATCAAAGTTGTTTTCTCTGCTGCTCATCTATTTCTACACGAGCGAGTCAGAATCCTTCAGCCAACTAAAGGACTGTTTACTCCAAGGAGCACTTATAATTTCTGCTCAAGATTAATCACTTACTTATTTATGGTGGAACTGTTTTGTCTTATTCTTACCTGTGGAGTGTTCCAGCAATTGTGATTTCTCTTCCAAATTAGCATGGTACTGAATCTGCAGCCTGGAGCCTTAAGTCTTCCTCATGCATGTAGATTGGAAAATGAATAACAACAATATTCCATTAAGGTGAATTATCACCTTCTAGCTTATTAATGCTCTTTGGAAGAAGAATGTATTTTTATTCATGGTTTTGCTTAAATCAGGTAAGCTGAAGTACTGTTACCAAAAAAAGGCACAGCAAGTTACTGCAAATGAAGAGGCAAAAGTGTTTTGAAGTTGCTTGTATTTTATATTCTGTTTTAGGTTTCTTAAACAGTAGGCTCTAGTCTCTTTGAATTGTAGGATTTAGTATTTCAATATGCAAAACCAAAGATGTGAAGTTGTCTTGGTGGAAATGTCACAGTTTCATTTTTTCCTAAGATTTCTCTACCTCATTGAACTTTCAGATTGAATCATTTTGGGAGGGGAGACCTCTCCCTATGGCTTGTGCTCTGGAGTGTCTGTCAGTCAAGTGTTTCTCCATACTGTTTCCCTTGTACATTTGTACAGAGACAACTTTTATTTCCATAACTGGTCAAGATACACCTGTATGGATGGATGTTCAGCTTTACACGAGGAATTCTAATGCTATGCTTTAGGAGGGCATCTGAACTGTCTGCTGGGACCAGTATATTCCTATATGAAGTTACTTTTTGAACAGTTAGTACTCTTAGGAATACGTGAAGACTGCAAGGATGTCATCACCAATTCCTGTGATGTTGCTGTCTTTGGAGGGAAATTATAACTGCAGTGGTCCTTGGAGGGAAAAAACCAAACCCAAAGAAGGAAAAGGAGTTCAGGTACTTTTACTCTAATTATCAGAGCTGGAATCTGTCTTGTGTGGACAGAATGTTCAAGCAGCTCTGCTGTCTGAGATGTCTGATACAGCTACTGGCTCCATATATGTTTATGGAGGAGAATCTTAAATTAATCCCTGCAATTTTTAGCCTGCAGGTCAAGAGTATAGTTGAGCAAGCTGATTTAGAGAGCGGTTTGTCTTGAAGAAGCTTTTTAAGGGTTACATATAAACTGAAACATCACCAAAGGGAAAAAAAAAAGTATTTCAAATCTAAAATGTTTTCTGTTTCAGTCTTGTAGGATGTTAATTCTCTGGGATTAGCACAGGAAAGGAACAGAGCTGCAAGTCTTCCTGGCATCAGAGTGTAAATAGCCTTTAACTGCAGAAAATCTAAATATTTGTATTGAAAATTACTTTAGTGGTGACATATGCTGTATGTGGATGACAAGATATCTTAAACAGTAGTTTGTTGGATTTTTTTCTGTTCTGGTAAGTTTGATGCAAATAGTAAAAGTTTTATTTGACTGCTACTACTGACCCAGGAACAAGCCTTTGTATATATGTGGCTTCTGTTTTTTAGAAAAGACCGTATTATGTTGGAAGGACAGAAAACCTTGCTGACAAACACCTATATTGTTTCAATGTATGCATCTGTGGATGCTCAAAATTCTTGTGCAAGCCATGAGCCTTTATTGCTCTGCTTTGAGGTGGTTGTTTTTCCAGTCCGATTTCCACTGAACTACAGTTGCCAAATTCTTTTCTTTGAAGCCGTGGACAAATCAACTAGTCTGGTACCAGATCTGATTGTACTCCTCAATTAGTCACACAGAAATCAAGATTTTTCAGGTAATGACAACCAGATGGCACTAAAGTATTGAATTCATGTTAGAATTAAACTGGGGGGGAAAAATGTGATATTGATTACACAATAATTTGATTTTTGTGGTTTCATATTGCCTGATACAGTTATAAACCAGTAACTTCTACTTCACAAAGGAGAGTGGCCACTTTTCTGTGAATAAAAAAAAATCAGTGATTAGCATTGTGCTGTTGTGTGGAATATCACTTACAGGTCACAGTCAAGATTTTGTGCTCCATTGAACCTGCAGGCTATATAAACATGAAACAAGATCTTTCTTCTGCTTTAATGAGAGGCATCAAAAGTAAATGGTCATATATATCCTCCTAAAACCTTGACAGCTGCTGACTTCTAATGGGAAATGGGATTTAACTTGCTTGTAGCTGCTTTTGGAGTGTAAAGTCTTTAAGTATATTGTAGTAAGAAATAATGCTTTCGAAGCATTCCAGGGTTTCTTATTGCATCTTTTGTGGGTTTTGGTTTTTGGTGTTTTTTTTTTCTTCTTGGAGTGAAGAAAAATAAGGAGAAATATCAAAGCCAAAACACTAAGGATACTTCTTACAGAAGAGCTCTGGCTAAGAAGGCTCAGAACTTTAGCTGAATCCAGAGGCACTACTGAGATCTGTCATAATGGAACAAACTTGCAGCTCTAATGCAAACTGTTCAAATAGGTTTCAACAATGTGCAATGATTGCTGCACAGTTTGCAGGACATGCTTCATAGTTAGGGAGGAACATGAATATTCTTTTCCACAAAGTTTGCAATCTGCATGTTCCTTTATTAAGAATATAACTATTTGTATCTCCTTTCCCTTCTCTCAGTAGCCAGAGAAAGTCTGCTGTAAGGCTGAAGGGATGGCCCTGAAGTTAACTTGGGTATAAACGTCCTCATTCTTACTCCAAAGCCTATCTGTTGCAGTCTCATTGCAGTCTATATGGTTCAGACAGAGCTTTGAGAAGAATATTCAGGTGCCTTTTAAGCAATTCTTTTGCTAATCTTTTGGAAGAGACACTAAATTGGTGAGTATGCTGTATTGCTAGCAGTGTGCTAACAGTGCATGCCGGTTATATTCTATTTGAAGGCAGACTTGGAACAAAATAAAAATCTAACTCAAAAGCTAGATTTACCTCAGTGAAACCAGAAATGACTGTTTGACTTCAGTTCAATTTTGGGGAACTGTTGAGACCTGTGACCTTCAATGATAAATATTTCTTCATCACCTTCCTTATCAGTTATATCCAGTGCTGGTTTGTAGAAGGTTGTCTGAGTCCTACAGACTTCCATCCTTCTCTTGTTCCTTGGCTAGGCTTAGCAATGTGCTATGTTGAAGGAAAGGACTTTCTACAAGTTAAAACTGGCACAATTTATGTTTTGCTTATGCAAAAATGCTGACCATAAAATGTCATATTGCACTTTGCTTGGATAGTTTTTGCATTATACATATAAGCAATTTCATTTGAAAAGCTACAGTTGTTCAGAGAATTTCTCTCTCAAAGGCTATTCTTCACCACATCCTCTGATGCAGCAGCAGCCATTGCAGAGTTTTGGAGACAAGTTCCTCAGCAGTGCCTGTTACTGCTGAACAGTCTCATACGGATTGTCTTTCTCAAGGAACATTGCAACATTTCTCTCTTCATTCAGACATTCCTTCTTAGCATATTAAGTTTTTGGTGTTAAGTTCTGTGAACAGAAATGTAGGTGCTGGTTTTGTGCATGGGCATTTGTTGTTTATCATTCCTAGTGAAACAAAACTTCATATACCCACTACTTACAAGTCTGCATGAGGTCCAGGGTTAGTAATGAAATTACTACATTCTTGCAGGAGTGTAATACATTGTTTTTTCTTTTTCTGGACTGTTGTGACATTTCCTTTCGTCTTAACTTGTCCTTGGCTATATGCATCAAGACGAGGGACATCTTTTTTCAACAGTGGAAGCTACTTGCTAGCCTTGAGATACAGGAGAGACAAATACAGAATTTCTGTCTTGTGGTAATTAATTTACTTGGGCATAATTTTTTTAATGCATTTTCTAGCACAGGTCATGAACAAATGTATAATGTACCTCATGTGTATATTATATAAAACAGAAATGTGTGATGATGAAATTTGTTTCCTTTACATTCAGTTCTCCAGCTGGATTAGTCCTATCCAGCAGAGATTTAAGACCTGTACGTGGCCTTCAGAGCCTTCTGCACTGCTATTTTCAAGTTTCAGACTTTGCTGTAATTTGTTTTTTTCTCACTGTTAGCGTCAAGTTGCATATACCTGGCAAATAGAGTTCAGTGTAGCTGAATGTGCACATGGAGTCTATATGTAGTAGAGCCATTACTAACTTTCTGCAGTATGTAGGTGCTTTTTTATTACTAGTTTCACTGTTCCAAACCTTTGATACACAAACAATAATGGAAATAATGAGTTTAAAATCATTATTAAAATATTTTACAAATATGCATATGGTTGGCATGTTCCCCTGGCAAATAGAGTATAATTGGCACCAAAATCAAGACTGGGCAATATTCTAAGGAATTTTGGAAAGTGTAGAACGATAGGAATGCATTGTGAAAAAATAAGAATTGGAGGTCGGCATTAAGTGTCAGATTCCTCTTTTTTTTTTCCTTTTTTTTTTTTTTTTTTCTGAGTTTCAAACTATGATAATAGAAGAAGGTTTGGAAAATACGATAATATTAAAATACCACTTTTGCAATTAGGTACCGCATTTTTTTGACTTACACTGTTACCAACTGATTTTTTTTTGTTTGGCTTTGTTTTTTGCTGATGTAATTGTCACAGAATTTAGTTTATTTTAAGAGCAGTTTTGCTTTTGGAAGCAGCAGCCTATTGCTGGCAGTCCCTGACATGTTGCCCTTGAACCCTATGCACGCAGGGATTCCGTCCTGAGCCCAGGATGCGTCTGAGCCAAGCTCTGAGTGGTTAATGTGGAGCAGATAAGTCCTTATACCTGAGCAGGAATGGCATAAAGATGCATGCCTTCAGGGATGCTTCTCAGAAATTGATTTTTATCTAGGGGTTTATACTAATGAGTCTGTCCTCTTCCATTTTGCATTTGGGGGAATGCTACATCTTCGTGCGGGATAGAGGATGAATGTCTTGTAATTTGGAGCTGTGTATGGTGTGGATTCATGTGCTGAGGCACGCCAAATGTCTGAGGCCATACTACGCTCATATATATTGGTAACATAACTCTGTGCTCAGTCTTATCAGTGCAGAAATGAGTTGTCATGGCAGGACACTTTCCCAGTGCTACAGTTGTGTTTAAATGTGTTATGGGGAAAAACATAAAGACATTGGAGAGGCATCTGCAGGAAATCTTCCTCCCTGTTAATTTTCAATGCTCCTTTATTTTTACCAGGATTTAGAGCTATCATGTGTAGATCTTTCCCATGTAGGTCTGGATTTTTTGGAATGCCATATTTACCTTGTCATTACACCATTACTTCTACAGATTTCTGTTTTACACCTGCATGGTATCTGAATTACATCTACAGTACTTCCGTTTCTCTATCCTCTCTACCTCCCTCTCCCCCAGATTTCTTAACTATTATTTTGTATATCTGAGAATCCTTTCTCACTTTAGCTTCCAGTGTGCTAGAGATGTTGTGGTTTTAGTATGGACATGTAATTCTATGGTCTATTTCCAGTGGAAAAAGTCACTGAATGCTTGCAAACATATGACCATTCAATAGTAGATTGAATAAAGACAATTGAACTGGCACAAAAGGCTTATAGGAGCAGCTTTGTGACATGATGAACTGAGTTTTGTGAACTGCTGAAGCAGCAAGATCCTTGGATCATGACTGTCTCAGGGATGATGCAAGGCACACTAAACTGCCCTGAAAAGGCCTTTGGGGCACTACACACTGCTTTCAGGTGATGTCAGTGCAGTGCTCCCGAGGAACACCTCCCACACTGGTTCCAGCATTGTTTACAATAAGAAGCTGGTGTGCAAAGGACTGCTACTGCCACTATTTGCCAGCGAACAGCCTCTGCAGAAAAAACAGTTGGATGGCCCTGAGGTTGATGGTTGGCTGTGGCTGACATAACAGGCCACACAGTAATATTAAGAGAGGTAAGATATTGTGGTGGTAACTGTGAGCCTACTGATTGACTGAGGCCTTCATACTCATTATTTGTCAAGTTAGAGTATTCCCAGATAAATGTTGGCCTATGATTCATGAGACAGTGAAGAGCTAAAGGTGTTTTTCATTGCCAATAAATTTGGAGGCAACTTGTAACAGATGGTGGTGTGGTGTTTGCAGTATATCAATACCACTAAGTTACCAGGGAGTGAGATAGTCATTGGTGTTGCTGAGGGTGTAAAGGAAAGGGATTGCTTTTTTTTTTTTTGCTTGAAATGCCCAAAGCAGGTTTATAGAAGCAGCCTTACACAGCTCAGGAGAAAGCCAGTTCTGTAGTTTGTCTTAACTACCCAAGAGTTCACACAGCCACAATTTGTTCTGCGCCGAACACGTGCTCTGTGCTGCTGCAATCTTCTCCACTGTAGCTTGTCAAGAAACACCGGTCCAAAGATAATTCCTCCTAGCATGAGGTGACCCCTTCTAAAAAATGACAAGCAGTCATCTTTATGAGGAAGCCCAGGATCTGCAAGGATTTTGTTTTCCTGGTCATTATGACTATTCAAATGCAGAAAATGTTGCTGGCAGCATCCGGTTACATGGCAGTTTGGAAGGTGCTTACACAAGCAAATCATACCGTGTTCATGGACGTGTCTCCAGTTACGTGCTGACATATGGGTGAGTATAGTATTGTCATTTCTGTACCTTTCAATAAATAATCAAAGCTCCGTGAAGTTTTTGAAGCAGAACGTTTCTCACCAGATCACACAGTCCCACCTTGGCCTGGCCTGTTACAAGTTCGTTACAGCTAAGAACCTGTGCCATGGATGTTTTCACTGACAAGACCATTACCGAGATGATGTTTCTTACTTCCTGATGCTTCTAGTTCCTGTAAAAATTGCCCTGGTCTCCTGGATAACATTGCTTATTAAAAGTTCAGTCAGAAATGGAGTTGATTGCTTTGAAGCTCAGGGGTTAGATAGCTGCAGAATAAGTGGTTTGTTTGAAGTCATAGGGCAGTGAAGCTCTGACAGCAGCAGTGACTTCGGGTGCTGCACTGGAGCTTGTGCTTTCCCAAGAGGTTATTTGAAGAGCACTGCCAAGTAAAAATACCTGGTGCTCTGTGGTCAGAAGGAAATGCCATTGTATGGGCACAGCCTTCCTCGCAAGAAACAACAAACTGAAAAATCTGTGGGCTCACAGCTGCAGCCTGGGATATTGGGAAACATGAACAGATGACAGTACTGCTTTATAATGATTGTGCAAGAGGGGCAAGCACTCTGGGTTTTAAAAACAACATTTTACAACATTACCTATTTGTAACTGTAGATACTCTTCCAAATGAGTTTTATCTAAACCAGCCTTTGTAATTGTTTTGATTTCAACACAGGTTGCATTGCCAATCATAGGGACTCATACATGCAGAGATGTATAGGGCTGGCCTCACTTATCCCTTGAGCATGAATTCTTGGTGGCTTTTATTGTTCTCCTTATGGTTACTTTTTCTTTAAAACCTGGAAACTAGACATGAAAAATAATTACTTAAGCTGTTGTATATTCTGTGTTTGCTCTATGAGAACCAAATGACGAGAGGTTTTCTATTGAAATGTATAGATATATGTTTATATGTGTACATGTTAGGTATTTCACTTATTTTTTTTAAATGATACAAAGTATTTTTTATAATTTTGTGTAAAGCAATGGATGTCACAAATGTGCTTTGGGAAATCTAGTAAAATATCTTCCTTGAAGTTTCATGTTTTTTTCCTCTATTTGTAGTTTTCATGTACTCACCTTTTCACTTCGTTTTAGCTGCTTATTTTCTGTGATTGCAGTAAGACAAAAAGATTGATGCTGTTTGGTACAGATTGGCACATTTAAAAATGATCCTTTTAAATCTAGTAAAACAACTAGTGAGAAAGCAGTAAACACTGGGAGGGAAACTGCCACTTCAGCTCATGCCAGTTGGACTTTATGCTGTGTCATTAAGAGTTGCTTAGTAGGTAATCTGTAGTGCCTGTTTTATTTGATTAGCAAAAACAAGAACAGTGTTTAACCCTTGTACATAAAGTGAAAACTACCCCATAAACTTTTAATTAAAAGCCTAGTGCCAAATAACATGACTACATTTGGAAAACCTGTAGAAATAACTGCAGAAATGATGACGGGTGAGATTGCTTGCTGTAAAAATGCCAAAAGCCACCGGAAAAGGGGCAAATCAGAAATTTTCTCAAATTTTAGGTCTCTCTAATGTTTGTATGTTACCAGAAAAAAGGAAAATGTTGATCACAGGCCTTAGTGACATGGGACTTCACCTGCCCCTCAGCAGCCTGTACAGTTAAGATGAGAAGTAATTAGTATATGAATATGAACTCTATCCTCACAGTGTTGAGTGCTGACCTAAGTCTATTTTTCCTTGAGATCTGTGCACAACTCTCCCAGGTTTTACTTGAATAGTCATTCTCAATCCTTCTCTATCAGGCCTGCTTTTAAAAATTGATTTATTAGTTTGGTGTGTATGTATTCATGGACATGTGTGCTTTTCCTCTAGCAGCCTGTCTGTCATCTTCTACCCCAGCCACCTCCCCTCCAAGACAAGCATCAGCCTTTGGGGTTTGGGTGGTGGAGACAGCTTCCAGCAGAGGCTGACTGTGTTCTCACTGATTTGTGTACCCTTGATCAGAGCATCTCCCTCAAAAGTCCCTGGGCTACACGATGGCCTCCCTGTCATGGTGCACCAGCCTGTGGTGTCTTGTCTGGGCAAAGCTCCCATCTCCCTTCTCCAGCATGCTCATCTCTGCACCTGAGCTTTTGTGCTTGCACCTGAGCTGCTACAGCAGGCTGATGAGCCAGGGCAGCCGTGGCTGTGTGCTCTTTTCCCACTGCCAAACAGGGCTTTTCATTGAGTAAGTCAAGGGAGAACAGCTCACCTGGCCGCTGCTATGAAGCTGGCACCTGGCAGAGCCCCCGTTCACATCTCCTGGTCCATGGTTCAACTAATTCATTATTTCTTGGTGTGCAAAAGGAAAAAGCTTTTGCTATCAGCTAGACATACCAGTCTGTCCTGAGTGACCCCACAGCCTGTTTTATCCTTAAGACTGCTCTCCACAGTCTCTGCATCGCTTCACTTTCTCCCCAGGTGGTGCTAGGACTGCAGCACAGGGCAGCTCTGTGCACAAGAGGCAGAGGAAGGGCTATCTTCTCCAGAGAAAAGTCAGATCTCTCAAATGTGGTAATTGTACTATAGCCTGGATTAATCTGTCCTTCCAGTGCTTATAATGGGACAGCAAATACTGAGTTTTCATGAACATGGGCCACTGGCTCACCAAGGGATACTTACATGGAGAGCTGCCCTGATGTCAAATAAGCATCTGAGATGTGTATTTGAGGGAAGGACCCTTTCATGAACATTCTTTGAGGTGGGACCTTCTAGGGCTGGTTCAGTCACTGTAGACAGGTGCAAGTCATTAAACAGAAGAAAAGAAAAACCAGATATATTTTATTGTCAAATTCCCCCAAGCTATTTTGGCATACAGGGCAAACATTCAGTAGGAACTTCTTCAAGCTCTAATTAGCTACACTTGAGTAATAAGGGCTCTTATGGAAAGTAATAACATAGAGGAGTGCATAAGGGCTCTCAGGCCCTTGCCAGCTTAGTCAGTGTGGTCACACCTCCCTCTTTCAGCAGCCACAACCTGGAGGCAGGAACCAGGGATTTAAATATTTAGCAGCCTTTGTTGCTGAATTGCTGTGTGGTCTGTGTTGTTGTGAATGGGCTGGAAGTGCAACTGGAAATGTAAAAGGATAGCCCCGCGGAGTTGTTCCCAGAGGAGATAGCTAAAGGTGCCTCTGGGCTTTTTGCATATACCACAGAAATTTGGATAGAGGGAAGGAAAGGATTTTTTTTTTTTTCTTTTATTTAAAAGGTGAAACTCAGCAGTAGTGACTGCACTACCCAAATTGCTTCCTTGGCTAATTAGTGGGAAATGGTGAAGCGAGAGTCCAGCCAAGCCTGGGGGTCATGACCATAGTCTCTGTGTGGGCAGCAGCTCTCCCTTCTCCCCTCAGCCCTCCAAGCAGACTCACTTTTTCAGTAGGACTCTCTGTGATGGACGCCCATTAGGCTTTGTTTGAAAACCAGCTCCTATGTCCTGGGTACGATTAGAATGTAAATGATGTTATGCACCATACTCTGCACAGCACAAGTACTGAAACCTTCATTTCCTAGAAGTGCAGAACATGCTGAGTTGGAAAGGACTCATCAGGATCATCAGCACTCAACTCCCCTCTCTGCACAGGACACCCCATGAGCTACACCGTGTGTCTGAGAGCATCGGTTCAAATAATTCTTGAGCTCTATCAAGCTTGAGGCTGTGACCACTTCCCTGGGGACTCTGTGTCAGTTGCCAACCACCCTCTGAATGAAACACCTTTTCCTGATATCTAACCTAAACTGACTCTGCTTCATACCATTTCCTCAAGTCACTGGTCACCAAAGAGAAGTCAGTGCTTGCCCCTGTGCTTTGCCTTCTGAGGATGTTGGAAACACACAACCAGGGTTGCCCCGTCCCAGGTGCAGAGTCCAGCACTTATATGGCAACCACTGGAGCAAAAATATTGCTGCAAATAGTCCAATCCTGTTAAATATCTTAATTAATGATCAGGTTGTAGTGTCCCTCCTTACTTGGAGATACTTAAAACCCCTCTGACATGGTCCTGGGCAACCATCTCTCAGTGGCCCTGCTAGAGCAGGGGGTTTGACAAGACGACCTCCAGACATCTCCCACAACCTCAGCCACTGCATGACTGGGATGGGGGGCACTGTCTTGTCCTCAGCCCCCCACTGCTGTTTTACTGACACTCATGGACTTGTGTGTTACCACGGGAAGCAAGAAACTGCTACCCCACCAGGAACTCTGTGTAAAAAGGCTTTGTTTCAGCAGGATGCCTCCAGTAAACCTGTACCTTATGTTCCCTAATTATTTAGCTATGGACAGATTAATTTGATGACCCTTCCCTGAGCCAGCCCATCACTTCCCTTTCCAGCAGCTTTGGTTTTTCCTATCCAAAGCATTACTTTAGCTCAGAGGTCGTTATTGCCTGCAGGAATGGCACATTCATGGTACCACCAGCAGCATTTATCTGATGTTGTACTCTGAAGCTTTGGGATATGTCTCTGTGTGCCTCCAGCCCCCCCATTCCTGATCCTCACGAGCTGCACTTCAGAGCAGACAAACCATGAGGCATTGGGGTGAGGGGGCAGGTTTAAGAGAGCTGGTGTTGGTTAGTGGGGCCTGCTTGACCCCACAGAGATGCTGGCAGAAGGACTACCCTTTTGCTGCAGTGTTATTTTTCCCAACAAAAAGCAAGAAATTTCTAGGGTAACTCTTTAGAACAGATGTGCAAATAGGTCTATAGGGATGTAAAGGGGTAACTTAAGCAATGTGTTTATTTAAAAAGGAATCACATGAATTTGGTGTTGGAGTTGTAAAATATACAAACGTGGAGAAATAAAGATACAAAAAGAAGCAGGAAATCTGAGTGGCCGGACCAGTGCTCCCCATTGTGTCTTGATGTTACCAGTTCTTTGCTCCTGTAGATGCATTGCCTGTGGATCACCCCATGTGCTCGTCTGATGCTGGAGCTGTGATTCTCCTCTCAAGAGTCACTTGCTGCACTCTAGTACCAGCTGACACCTTACAGCATATCCAAAATTACCTTGGCCTTTTTCCAGTCTTCTTCTCCATGAGGGTTTTATGTGGTTTTGTTGTTGCTTATCACTGCCCTCCCAGTGCCCTCATGCCATGCCTCTGTCAGGACCCCCTCCTCTTCACAGCCTTTTCCTCTCCACTGCCACCTCTGTCAGGATTAGAGGGCCCTTAACACAAAATGCTTCGCCGTGCTCAATTCAGATAGAAAAGTGTTCACTAAATCTTCGCCACCAGGTAAAGAAACTTCCTTGTGTTTACAACCCTTATAGCAATGGGGTTGTTGATGTCAAGGCCCAGCTCTTCCCCAGCTTGTATTAAACCCACAGGGACTGATGGATCTCAAAGAACATCTCCTCTTTCACCAAGGGCAGAGTGTAGAACAGAGATGCTTGGGGCAGTTTTACCTGGTGTGAGGGAATGTGGGTGGGTGTTTAACGTGGAGCTGTCCTCCCAGGTGATGGGCTGATGGAGGCTTTTTGGAGTGCCAAGCAGAGCTGCCTGTACACCCTGCTCTCCTCCAGCATGCCAGAGAGCATTGCTGTGGAGCACACACCTGACTGGCCACAGCACACAGCTGCATGGGGGGGTCTTGTCTAACAGAACAGGGGAGGTGGAGGAGAGTATTATTCTTGTTGGCTACAGCAAACATGGTTTTTACATATCCCAGACAGGAACAGCTATCCCCATGGAATGCTTGAAGCACTGGAATTTGCCAGCTGTTTTCTTTGGACACTGGCGTGTTGTATCTGGACAGAAACTGAGTCACGCTTTTGGACTCAGTACATCCGCTAGTCTGCTGTGCCAAGGAAACTTTGCCCACTACTAGGACCTCTTCCTGTTTTATAAACAGCAAGGCTGTTTGCCCTGGTTTGTGACCCTCTGGAAGAGAGAATGAAGGCAGCTCAGTCAGGGTCATAGGGAGAGCTGGGGCAGGGCAACTTCTCAGGCTTCATCTCTGTCCCTCCCTTCTGGCGGTCCTCACCAGTTCTGAGCAGCAGATTACAATACACAGCATAAAATCCCAGCACATGAGGCAAGTG